TATGCGCCACTCAAATCAATTCTGGTGTAAAATTTTGCATTGACTTGGCTGAAAATTGTTTCCAAGTTGAGAGCATTTGGGTAGGGCCTAATTACTGTGCGATTATTGAGAAAACACATATCGCAGACTAAGCGATATTTTTGTTTTTCGCCTTTTGGCGTTTTCTTTGGCACTAAATGAATTGGGCTGACAAAGTGTGCGTCATCAACTGGCTCAATTACTCCGTGCAGTAACATTTTATTCAGCTCCTCGTCAATAATTTCTCGTGTTTGAGCATTGGTTGGCCGTAGTGCTGCTTTGTATGGCAATCCGTCTTTTATTTCAAAGTCCAGATGAAAATCTTTTGCAAGTCCTGGCGCTTCGCTGAATAATCCCAAATTATTGTACTTCAAGAGCAATTTTTTCAGAACACCATTTTTGTCATTTTTAATTGTTTTTGGCAGTTCGTCTCGTAATTGGTGTTTTTCTTGCACTGATGCGTGAAGAGAATGCAAGTATCTTGATTTTTTATAGACGAAGCGAAAAACATTTTGTGGGTCCTTGGTGTGAAAATAACCTGAAGGGAGAATTCCAATTTTTGCGCTCGCGATGAAATTTCGACCAAGTAAAATTTCATTTGTTTGCTCGGCGAGCACAAAGCAAGGCATGTTAACAGTTCCTGCTCTCCACTTTATTGGTAATTCAATTGCTGCGACGACTTCTGCGCTTCCACCCACTGTTGATAATTTTTTATTTGAGTACCAAACTTTTGCTCCTTTTTGCTTCATTTTCTCAAATAATTTATAGCCAATGAGTGTAACGTCGCTTCCTGAATCCAAAATACCAATATAGTGTCGATTGAGAATTTTCAGTGGAATTGTTGGTCGTCTAAAATCAAATTGTTTTGGTCCTTTCTCACGGAAAAATTTTGTCATTTTTATTTTGTTTTTCTGAACGAGTAATTCGCAGGCTTTGATTTTATTCTCTAAATTTAGTTTTTTATTCCTGCTTCTGCCCGAGGCATCAGTAGCAGGTTTCTCGTTCAGTTTTCCGACTTTTTCCTATTGTGAGGAGTGGAGTCGCGCTGGCGTGATTTTTTCTCATTGCGCCTATTTTTCGAGCTTTTCTCGCTGCTGCTGTCTCTTTTCTCGCGTGAAATTTCAGTCGTTTTCTTAGCAAAAGTGGTATTTTTGTCGCCGGACGAGCGGCGATTTTTATCTCGGTCGAACGAGCGATCTCGAGATTTGCTGCTGCTGCTGCGATCAAACGAGTGATCACGTGATTTGCTGCCGAACGAGCGGCGCGAATCATCACTGCCAAACGAGTGGCTGCGATATTTTTCTCGCGATTTGGAGCGATTACCAGATGAATGGTAATTTTTTCCGCGGCCGGACGAGCGGCGGCGTGATTGCGAGCGAGAGAAAGATTTGTTTCGGCGGCGCGCGCGAGAGCGGCGGAGTTGCGGGTTGAGGGCTTCCAGGGGCACTTCTTTTACATGAGATACACGCGGGTCGCTGCTTTTATTCGGGCCGGTGTATGCCAATGAAAACTCAATTGATTTTTCGGCCGGCGGCGGCGGCTTGTAAGTCTGCATTTTGTAGATGAGAGTCTGGACCATTGAAGCTTCATCTAATAATTCTTGCAAAGACTTAAAAGTTTTTCCGCGCATGTACGTGCAGTAGATTGGGTGCATTTGGGAAACGATTTTTTCCACAATTTTTTGTTCATCCGCGTCAGGGTCAATGATGTCAAAATAGCCTTTTATTTTATGCGCGTATGTGGTGAGCGGCTCATTCTCGTGCTGGGTGCGTTCTTCGAGCTCGCGCGTGAGGCTTTTCTTGTAATCCACGGCGGCGAATTCTCGCATGAATTTTTCACGAAATTCTCGTTCGCTGCTGCACTTTGAGCCTGTGCAATTATACCAGAGCAATGCTTCTTTCTTAAGAACGACTGGCATTTTGTTCTTAATTAGATCTAGCTCATGCACAGCGTGTGCTTTTGCTTGGCAGCTGATGAATGTGAGATATTCGTATGGAGAATTTTTGTCGCTTTTGCCGTAAAAATTTGGAATGTAGATTCTGGTGTAAATCTTGGCAAGGTCAAAAGGTGAATTTGAATTTCTATTTGATGTGGCATTAATTAACGCATTTGTTAATTGCTGGAATGGGTCTGATGGCGCTGAACCGAAATTCAAATTTGAGGCTGCTGCATCTGCTTGGGGTGGCAGTTGCGGCTGTGGCGGATGCCTCAATCCGTCCGGGATGAAATTTAATTCGGCGGTCACCCGGTCTAACTGAACCGAATCTTGTGCCTGTTGCAATTGCGCCGTGAAAGGTGACACGTGAACTGCATTGGCGTTGGAAAAGGTGCGAATGATCTGCTGCGGCTGCGGAGCCGTAGGAGAAATTTTCGTCGCGTCCATTTCACCTAATTCGCGCATGAGAGAATTCAAAGCGAACCGATCGCTGAGACTTTGTTTCTCGCCGCGGAATTGGTGTTGGTGCGGAGTGCTTGTTTTTGTTTCCTCGACCTTTTTCTGGGCATTTTCGCCTTTTTTCTCGGAGTCGGCGGACTCTGGTGGTACGACTAGGGAGTTTTCGTCACCCGCAGGTGGTGTAACTTTCCCGTCACCATCACCAGCGTCCGTCCCGTCCGAGAAAAATGTCGTCTCAGACAGTGGTTTGCCGTCCGCGCCGTCATTGCCCGGGGGCAGTTTGGCTTGCGGGGCGTCATCACCGTGGTCAGACATTGCTCTCCTCTTCTTTTTGGGTTGCTTTTTCAAAAATTGAATTTCGCCTGGCGGCAGAAAAGATACGCGGCTTGGTGGAGCAAATTCCGCAAAAACGGTGCTCGGTGCCGCGCCGATAATCTGCGTCGCTGTTTAATAAAAAGTCCTCTTTTTACTCGGCAAGAGACCCCACTGAAACGAGTAGTTCGGCTCTGCGGTAGTCTAGGGGTTTAAGGGGTTTAATCGGAGGATGCTTTTTATTATTTGGATCGGCCGATGACTCGGACGACGCGACGGCGGCCGCGGGTGCGGCCGTCTAGCTGGGCTTGATGAAATTAATTAATTGAATATAAGCAAAAGAGCAAGACGAACTTGTGCGTCTTAGCTCGACCCGAGAAGCGGGTTCGCACGCGCTCGACGAATGTCGTCAAGTCGCCTGCGAGAACCTGAGTGGAATGAATATAAAAGAAATACACAATTCACTTTGCCTCCTACTTGGAGAAAGAGAGAGGGAGCGTCCCTGCAGTTTATTGTGGGCTTTGTAAACTACAGAAAACTTGTCGCACGTCTAGGCGGCGAATGAATATTAAACAATATCTAATTTGGTTTAATTGTTTAAATAAATTTGATCGGACAAAGAGATGGCACGCGGGCTGATACATATTATTGATTAATCTGCTTATTTGATTTAATTATCGTTACAAAATAAAAATTATGATATTATAGCGCTCTTGTAATTAATTGTTATTTGCCATGTCTGAAAAAAAGTGAGCATAGCACTTTTCTATTGGCATCAATTTGGATCTCCAGCCAAGGCGCAGCGCATTTACCTTTTGTTTTTGAGTTAATAAAAAAGCTAGTAGAGAATAAGCAAGTAATCTCGAAACAAGCTAAATTTTATTCAAGTGAAAAGGTGCCCTTATTTAGGTTACACAAGCCAAAAGAAACCTAAAAAGCACATTTCTCAAAATTGTCTTAACTTGACTCGGCCGGGGATAAAAATTTGTATCGAAGAAACGCTATTAAGTCGCCGCGACTCTTTTGGAAATATGAAATTGCCTTTAGAATTTTAAATACTAGAAATTAATCAGCAATCAGAAACAAAAATCATTGATGGCTTCCAGGTGGAAAATTTTCATGGACAAAAACCGGTACTAACAAATTTATATTTCTAATAACCTTTCTCCTAATAAAATGTTCCGTTACGCCGAACAAAAAAAAAACACAAAAAATATGAAAAAATCTCCAAGGTGCCAATTTTCAGCAAAACTTGGTGTTGCTCTCATCGCACTGAATGGTTGCAAAATTTTCTTCTTGATCATACAAAAATTTTTACAAAAGTTTTAAATTATTGAAATGAAATTCAGTTGGATTTTCAACAAGGTATTTATTTGAGACATTAAAAATTTTATTTTTGTAAAAACGGTTAATAATGGTGGCTATGAACATATATCTTCATTATGTATTTCAAACGAAAAGGCATCATACACAAAAAAATATTTCGTGTTTATCTCATAGCGTTTTCCTTTCTTACTTTCTTTCTTCACTTTTTCAATACTTTTTTTATCATTATAATTATTATTATACAACGTATCTTGCAGTGAGTGTATTTTACGATATACAATAAACTGTTGCGCCAGAGAGCTTTTTGTTTATAAGAGTCATTGTCGTACTGTCGTGGAAATTATTACCAAAGAGATAATATAACATTTGTCCTATTGAACTGCAGCATAATTTTTAGAGTGAGAGTGGAAAGAAAGGACAAGCATATAATAATTTATCTTCCTTTTGACACTAAGTGAGTTTTTGCTAATACTTTTTCCAGGTCATTCCTTCTTTCTTCAAGATGGCCAAGTAAGGATCATTTTTACACGACTGGGATTTTGAAAATCTCTGATGGTTGGCCGTGCTTTTTATAGAACACTTTTTGCAAATTACTTGATTTGCCTGTAAAAATATTAGAAACTATTTTATTTTGGATAACAGAATCGTGCCGCTGATGGAATTTGGATAAATAGGTTGGGATTTTTACTATTTCCTGCAAACATAAGTAACATTTTCCAAATTTTCCTATTTTGATCCAGCATATCATTTGAACCGCCCTTTTTTTGGGACTACCAGAATTAATACTTTCTTTCAATTATTTTGAAATTTTTTAGCTGAGTGCTTTCATTCTTGATGGAAAATAAAAATGCGCAATACAAGTGTAAGTTTTAAGTGTCATGTTGACAAGACACAATTCAATACATATTCTACTTGCAGTCGTGTGGATTTTACATAAGAGATTGGATCATTATGTGTTTTTTTTTTCTTCATATGTCTTATTAAGGGCTAAATGTTATAGGGTAAGTGTTTGTGAGATTTCTTTGCCTTTCTTATTCACACAATGAGATTTCATATGTTGTGAGTATGCAGCAGTGTGTTTGTGTGAATTTTATTTCATAACTTTTCTCTTGGAAACACACTATTATATGCATACAAAAGCAGTAGATTACGGCCTGTGACCAACAAATAAACTAATCAATTGCTTATTATACGAAATTTGATTTTCTGTCTCCTGCTAAATTTTCGATTTTAGCCTTTCTTGCGCAGGCCAATGCCGTAAATTTAGTTTGTAAGTCGTAATCTACCGTATTCTTTTAATTATTTATTGAAATAGTGCTTGTAGGTGCAATACATGGCCAAATTCAAATCGCATTTGGAAATTGAAAATGCTGCTGCGCTGATGGGTATTACTCTTTTGTTAATCATTCTTCCTCTACACAGTCAACTCGCCTATATGAGTCTTGAAAAAGCACTCTCCCGTAACTATATACAACAATATGGTTGTTTGTTCAAATATAGCACGTGCAAGAGATGATTTTTCTGCGTAATGTTTCGCTCTCAAATTTCAATAATCTTTACATTTGTGAGTTTCTGAGGATATTTTTAATAACTTTCTAAAGACTTCCTTTTCTTTTCCGCTAAAAGGAGTAGTTTCTTTGATATCTACAATCGAATGCAGCACACAGAGTTAATTTTTTTTGTTTACCTTTGAAACAACGAAACGATACAAGTGAGTTTTTTTATAAATTTGTCAACAAGAGTAGTAGTTAGTGAGCGGTGGTAGCGAGGAATTCTTATGTGAATTTTACATTACAACACTTTTGTGCACTTCATTCCACCATTCGACTGGATAGTTAACTTGCTTTTCCGCAACAACTTGATGTAAATTTGCAAAATTTATATTTGTAGAAAGGATATACAGACACTCCTATAGGCAACCGATATATATTCAAATTGTTAGAAGAAGAGGTAACACGCATTCCACTTGAAAGGTGCGATTAAAATAGATTTCATTTTTTAGTTATTTTTAAAACGTTAGTCCAATAATGCAGTTCCCGCGAGACGCAACTTGGGTTCGGAAAGTTCAATTTTTCGTTCGTCAATATCCAAATGCAAAACTGCAAAGAAAAGTCGCGGCATTTCGCATCTCGGCCGGCGAACTTGATTTCATCCCTTTCTTTCGCTCAAATTATTTTCGCCAAGTCCGCCGTCCAGATGGAAATTTCATATTTAAAACAATCGGTTCAAGGCACTATTCTTCTTAGTAAAAGGTAAAAACAACACTCATTGAGCACAAGATATTGCATCTTCATTGGAAATAATGCTTTTTTTTTGTCATTTTACTTACTTAACCATAAATCATGCACAGCGAAAAAAATCCATACACATTTAAATTACATAGAATTTTTCCGAACCCGCCAAATATTCGTTGTAATTTTCAATTTTAGCACACTCACGATTTTTTTAAAGGAACTCTCTTTGAAAATTTTGATTTCTTACAAAAATGAAATCTATTTTTTTTTTGCACCTTTCTTATCAGCAGACTTCCATACTTTTTCATCAAGTAGCAGCTATTTATTATAAAATTATATATGAATCTACATAGGAAACGACTATGAAATGTAAAAAAAATTGTTAATTAGAAATAGGCTAAGATCGCGACTTATAAAGTTACATATTTTTTTGTCGTTAATCAATTGGCGCAAGAGGTTTATAATGAACAATTTAGCTAATATTTGTATCAATTGGTACAATTTTTAGATTTAGTATGAGTGCTTTTGCTTGAATTGCAATTGAGGCATCCGTTCATATATTCTTCATCATTGGAGTTTAAATAAGCCTTTAAATCCATTCATCGGATATAGGGAATTAAATATAGAATTTTATGATAAATAAAAAAAATGCATTATTATATTAATTCATCAAACACGAGACATACACCAATTAGAATAAAAGCGCTGAAAGTATTGCTCTCTGTTTACGGAAAGTTTTTAATTAATTTATTTTGTCATAGTCCACTTCTGATTAAATCGAAAAAGTTCTGGGAAAATCTAATGAATTTTTACTCCCAAATTTTCAAATTCTCGTAGTAACGGACGGCGTCATTTTTCTGACTGTTCACGTTTGAAGCCAATTTCGTTACTTAAATTTAATTGATCTTTCATGTTTTTTGATTACATCTTTCAAATTCATTTCACCAATTGAAGGCCATTTGGGAACACAAACGCAATCTCATCGGAAGGCCTGTTACTAGACCAAGTATTGCAAATAGATTTCAAAACACGTAAATATCGCATAATATCGGTCGCCCAAGGAGAATATGCAAATTCACAGCTATAACGACTCTTCAAACCGGCCAAAATGCACTAGCCTGAAGTTTCTTTCACTCTTCCTTGTTGAACCACCAGAGGAAACCATCGAAAGTTGAAACAAGTAGTGAAAAATATATTATTTAAGATAAAATAGAAAAATGCGCCGTTTCTCTACTGCACAATAGAATTAGTGTGAATAGAGTTTTTTGTTCCATTTATTCATTATTATAATTGTTTATTTTTTTACCAAGAATATCTACTATTGCAGTAGAAAATAGACTTGAAAAGCATGGCAGAATTGGTCTTGTATTCATCTATTATAGTTGTCCATGCGTCTTTAATTGCAATTCGAATTTTCACTCACAGAGAGAGATAGAGAGAAAGGGCCGCCGAATCTCACAATTCGGGAAAACTCGACCCGACGAAGACCAGATATATTATTCAATTATATGTGAAAAAAATCATTTTCCACGCAACGGGCAACAAATTGTGGAGAGGAAATTTTTGAGCACTCGAGCGAGGAGCGTCTTTTGAGAGCCGCAATTGCAGTTAGTTCTAATCGGACACAACCAAACTCATGCAGGCTATAGTTTATATATTGAACCGAACGAACGCCCCGGGCGTTTGTGCATACAATTGCGAGAGTAATGTACCACATTCGACTGCTCTCAAACGAGTGATTTTTATACATAGTCGCGGTATAGTGTTTCTTTTTTTGGGGTATAATTTTCAATTCATAACATTAGACAGCGGTTTCAGTGTGGCTGTGCGAGGACAGGCGCTCGACGTCGATCTCAGGAATGGTGAGTTCGTCAGGCACGTTGTCCGCGTACTCTATGGAAGATGTCTGTGAAAGTCTCTTGCTGAGCGACGACTGCTTTTGCAGCACCGCGGCCAGGGATGGATTGCTTCTCTCGCAATAACGAGCGTCTAGACCTTGTCGGAAAGCATTAACTACTCGGATCTGCAAAGAACACACAGAGCCAATCTGTATAACCAACACCGCTCACATTTCGATATATAGTGTTTCCAATAAAACACGTGAGAAAAAATTCATGCTAATTTCGGCCGCGGCACCGCATGCGCCTCGGTGACGCCGTCATTGATATTAATCAAAATATTCATGCTCGCTCATTTATATACTTACTGTGTGATTTGGCAAAAAGCTGAAATTCGTTTTCAAAATTGTCAACGGCAGTGCACTTGAGAAGGAGGATTTTAATATCAAAATAAGCACAATCAGATTTTATTGATCGAAAAGAGGTGTGAGAGAACGAGGTAAGGTGTTTCCACGCGTAAAAATTAACCTGCTGGATTTTGATTGTGCTATGTAAAGATATGAAAGAGAAGAGGGAGGGAAGTGTCTGTGTGAAGCGGATTTTTCTAACAGTGCATGTACATATGATACACAGTAAGTTACCTACCATCTACAATACATACACCAGCAACAAGAAAGAAAGCATTCAGGTCAACGTGGGGACATACAAGTTGATTAACTACGCCTACTGTAAGGTACAAAGAACATTTAAAGGGAGTGAAAAGCATTTATGGATGCTTCTCACCCCTGATGAAGCGATAAAGTGAAACAAGGCGACGCTACACGTTTATGGGAAAAATAACACTTATCAAAAAAGCGTTTGGCCACATAAATTTGTGTTGAAACGAGCAATATAACCACCACTAGAGGTGCCTAAACACCGAGAAATGTACGGCTTGTGAATTAATTATCCATCTTGTTGTAAGGAAGTTAATTATTTTTAAAATCCTCAGATATAAATAAATTAATTTCACCAAAAAACTTGCGTAATTTGCCAAATTTTTAGAAATTTTTAGTGGTGAATGTTTTATGTTAAAAAAAACCTTTCCCGCCGTACCTTTTGTGTGAAAATGCAAGCCATACAAATATAGAACAGAGACACTGAACGGCGACAAAAAGAAATATAAAAACTGAAACATTGCCGAGACAATTAAATTAAACCAATCAATTAAGTATCAAAGAGAGCAGCTTACAGCTTGATCAGTGGAGCTCTTGCTGTACGGCACCGGAATCAACCGTTCTTGCAATTCACCACCTATCACCTTTAAATGCAAATGGCAACTGTATAATACGTTGGTAAGGAGAAAGCCAAATAGATTGTTTTGTTTGTTTGTTAAGTATATATACGGATCGACTTCCAATAAAACAACCAAAACATAATAAGCAAATTTTTACGATTAGGGGTCGCAATCAAGGTCCGAAATTTCGTCAAATTACATAAATTTGTGGTGCTCGGTACATGATAATCAATGATTGAAGGTTTTTCTGCAGCAAATAATCAATCAGTCTACCATAATGAATAGAGAAAAGTGCGTGAAGAGAGAGAAAGAGAGTTAAATATAATATGTAATGCAACAGCAAATTACGCGGTCGTACGCAGCAGGGGCTACTTAGCAGAATGCGTTTATTTTTCAGGGTCGGGTGTTCCAGATAAGGTCCAAGGTAAAATACATGGATATGATTTATAATACTTTAAAGAGTAAGTATATTTAATATCCAAAGGGAAAACAAGGTATATTTATTTTCAGCCCATTCTAGAAATAGTTTCTTATATTAGATAGAAATGGTAATAAGAGAGGAGGCGGATTTTTTATTGAGAAACAAAACTGCTGAAAGTAGTGTTTGTGCCAGGCAAATGGGTTAACAACCTTTATTAAAGAGCCTCAAAATATTTTGCAAACCTATTTACGTCATATACTGTTTTAACGAATTGGAATAAATAACACCTTTAGCGTCTTGAAAATGAATATCCCGCAGCTAATTACATTGAAGAGCGCGTCAAAAATGCAAGACATTCATCAATTCAATTTTTTGTTGCATGTTATGATGCGCCCCATTTCATGAGTGGAATAATAATGGGTTAAAATTTGAGTTGAGATTCAAAATAAACAGAATATTACGTTTCCACTGCGAGGGGAGAGCCAGTTGGCAAGCAGTATATCATTTGGCACACTTTTGTGTTTTTTTTGTCCCTTTATATAGCATTCATGCAGTGCTAGTTTCAATACTCTTAATTTTCTACAGTGAGAGAAGGACAATTTCCTCCAAGGTCAATTTTGGCACCAGCTCTTTTCCAATCCAAGGTGTCCTTTTTGTGGCTAGCAGCAAAATTGATAAAATTTGAGCTTACTGCCAAAAGTGACCGTCAACTGCTACTACAAATAAAAAAGTAATAGCGAGCGAGTGTGTGTGTTTTTGTATATATGTGACAAGTGTAGCAACGCTTGAATAACAATATATATTTTATTATTATTATCTCGATTTAATTTTTATTAGCTACTTCGGTGATTTTCCAGAAATTAATAGTTATTCGCGATCGGTGTCAATCCAATCTGAACAATGAGGAGAATGTCTTTTTCAGCTACACAATAACACACTATGTCTATTATAATTCATTTGTTAATAAAAAATTAACATGAAAACAAACGGGCGTTTGAGGGGGAAAAGTCCGGGCAAATATTGTTCTCTAACGCTTGATTCCACGGACGAGTTCGGGATTGCTTATTCTTATTAGCGCGGGAATTTAGCGCGATTATCCAGATCGTACATCAATTAATTTCGAAAAGTTAAAACTCAGCCGTCACCACCTGCACTACTATCACTAAACACCAGACCTGCCGTAACTGTCCGAGCACGTGTTATACACTGTAATCCACTAGAAAATAAAAATGTCTTTCGTAGTTCAAAAACACGCACGCGCGAGCACCAACGTCGGTTGAGGGCGCGAGAGAAAGAGAGGATAAAAAATCTATCAACTGGTCAAAAATGTAAAATACTGAATTATTGCGGCAAAAGTGCGACACAGTAAACTTCTTTAGCTATTAAACACGGAATGGACGTCTTCTATAAGAAAAACTGTTTTCGGAATGTGAAATAGGAGTGTGGTGATGCCCGCACACTGGGCATGCGCAATGAGCTCCTTTTTTTCAAATTCTCATAGCTGAAAATCCGTTTCTTACTCTTATCTATACAACCACCGTGAAATCGCAAAAGTTCCCTCTCAATTGCTAATCTTGCCAGTTCACTGGGTTTCCCCTGTGAATGAAAATTTCTTTTACAACACGTCCAGTACAGTCTTATTAACATTAAAATCTCTATTTATGTAAATTGTATTTAGAAATTTACTTTTAGTTGTAAAATCAGGACTGAATAATTTTCAATAAATCGTCAGGGGATTGAAAAAGCGAGCGATTCCCATGACCGCCTAGTAAATTTAAAGCTCTGGAGCCGTTAACTTACAGGATGATCGTTCGAACAAATTCATTTCCTATAATACGCGTTTCTCATCAGATTTCAGAATTTCGTTACTAAATTTGTTTTTTTGACAAATTCAGAAGCGAAATGTTTTGGCCAAATAAATAATGAGTAAGAGTAAAAAGAAAATAATTTGATTGATTATGCTTGAAAAAAAAAACCGTTTTGCAACGATCATCCATTATCTGAGGCCTGCAGCTGATCAAAATCTTTCTTCAATTAATATATATATGCATACAAATGTAATGTTCAAATATATATATTCCATAATTTTTATTAATACGGAGTGAACTTACGCTTTTAAAGCTAATTGAATAAGATCATGAACGTCAAACTTTGGAATTGATGACTAGAAATATTATATAATATTGAGAGAACAAATCCAAGTTGTGTCTTTTGTTAAATTATCTCTAATAGGATTGACAGTCGCCCTGAAGAGTATCTACAAGTTTGGAGCCAGAAAAGGCATGGAAGCGTATTTGAAGATATTGCCTCGGGATCTGTCTAGCGCGGACAGACGTTCCAATAAAAGACGAGTCTCTAGCTCTTTCCCGAAATGCCCGAAGATTCGTCTCGGGAAATCGTATTTAAATCTGATATATAGGTCCATTTTCAACAGCCGAATATTATTTTCAGTAACAACACGGAGCAACGAGGAAATTTTTCATATATGTACACGATTTCGGCTTGCGTTCGGAGAGACAAATAAGTGTATAGTGTGTGCTATACTTGATTTGCTCGTTTTAAATATACACACCCATCAACAATATATAGTGAAAGACATGAGGGCTAAAATCGACGAAGGAAAATACGAATCGGAAAAAAACTAGTCCTTGGAATTATATGCTAGTTTCGTGAACGAGTTTCGGCAGGTCGGGCAGTTCCGGTGGTGGTTGCGGCTGAGCGGCTCGTTCCGGCTGGGGCGAAGTGTTGAGTGACTGGTATAAGGCTTTTCTGGGCGGGGGCGGCGGAACTCGCGGTTTCTGCACGACGCCGACGGGCGAGGCCCTAACGGGTTGCTTAATTTTCTGATCGTTTTCGGGTGGCGATTGCTGCTGGTTGCCGTTAAGCGGGGCGGTGACGAGAACGCGGGGTGCATTGGCAGCGATTACGTGGCTAAAGTCAGGCAGGCCGGCATGCTGGGTCGAAGAAGCGTCAGCGGGGTCCGACGAACTTGTGTTTGCCGGATGCTCGACGGGCGATATGGTTTTGGCGACGCTGCCGCCGCCGGTCATCGAGGTGCTCAGGTAGTGGTTGTTGCGGTCGGCCGTCAGCTTGGTGCTGAACAGTGGCGACAGCTGGTCGGCGTCGTCGACGTACGAGCCGCCGTCCGACAGCGGCCGCTGCCCGCCGGTCATGCTGCGCGAATTTCGCAGACTGTGCAAACTGTGAACCGAGCGGCGTTCCTCGAGATCTTCTAATGTCGATTTGAACGCCCGTATTACGCGCAGCTGCAATCACAGAGGCAAGCAAAACATTTCAACACACACCGGGCCTGGTTGGATCATTTGTTGGTCGGTCTCGTTAATTATTAATATTTTTTTTTTAGATTTTGTGAAGGAGCTCAATGGGATTCATCCAGACTTGAAAGAAGGTTTCGGTTGAAAAAGAGAGAGATGAGATTTGTTTGCGTCTCGGGGTTGTCTAGGTTTGTTTTTCAGAGAAATAGCCGCCGTCCTTGATGACAAAGTAACCCAAAATTTCCGCATCATCGAAGCCTCAATAAACTTAAGCTGTATTTTTACTGTTTTTATAATACAAAATTGATCCATATCTTCTGCTTAAAACGATTTTTACATAATTACAGTTAAATGTTTTTACAGACGGAAAGTAGAATAAAATAAACAAAAATAATAACTGAAAGATTATTAATGAAAAAGGTAAAGCAACAGAAACGATAAAAATCTAAAAAAAATCACGGTGGACATTTACTAGAGAAATCCTCCCGGGATGTCCATGTTATAAGTATAGCTAGCCCGGGAGGATATCTGTAGTGGATGTCCCTCAATAATTTTTTATCAGCCTCAATTTCTTTCGTGTTATTTACAAGATTATTATTTTGATCTCTTTAAATTGAACTAAAAATTTTGCGTCTGGAATTAAAGCACTTCTTGATCTTCTCACTAAAAACAGGAAACTCTCTAAAAGGAGCGTGCACATCCCTATTTTTTAGGATTTTCTTCTAATTTTGAAATGCCATTTTGATCGCAATTTTTTAGTGGTAATCACACTTGCATGCAACGATCTGACGGAATCCACGGGTCACTCACTGATCAGGAATCTCGGATGGTCTCATATGGTGAGATTCCTTACCAGCTTGCATAGATCATCAAGGATGACAGCTATATAGCGATCTCTGATTGGATTTTTGGGTTAAAGTCGGGTTAACGAAAGTAATATGTATATAATTAGAGACTTTTCGAACAAATAACTTTCCTGAAAATAACCAGCTATATAGCAATTTTTTAAATACATTATATGTATAAACAGGCAAGTATGCAAGCAGCAGTTAAAAGGAGAGTGAGTGGAAACAATGATATATGTGAGAGAGAGGTGGTTATTTGACAAAAGAGTGAAAGATTGTTGCTACACAGAGAAATGTATAGAGATGAAAGGAGAAAATAAAGAGGAGAGATGCACATCAAAAAAGGCAAACGAAACTAAGCGGCATGGACAAAAGCAGCTGAGAATCAATTTTAGTTATGCAAGTTGCAGTACAAACAAATAAATCACACACCCATATTGATGCTGAAAAATTTCCGGACGGTGACAATTAGAGAAGCATTTTTGTTCTTGACATCGTCTGTACAATTCAAGCAGTATAGCACGAGGAAGGACGCTCGATTTTGGTTTGAAAATGAACGAATTTTGATTGCCCGGTGATGAAACTAATTTTAAAGTAAGCGTGTCGATGTGAGATAATTTTGTATGTTACAGTATGATTGAGATGAACCGTTTTCGCTCGGGTCTGCGTGTGTGTCCCATAAAAAAGCGTTCACATACAATTCTGATAGAGAACAGTTTCACTGCTCTGGCGACAGGGGTTTTGAGGTACGGAAGCAAAAATGAGGAAAAAGCAATATTGTAGTAAAATATATATTGTAATTAACATCAAATCACCATATTTATGATAGATGATGGACAATTATTGCCATATCAGTGTATATAATAACAGCTAAGAAGCAACCAACAGCAATATAATGTAATATATTTTAAAAATTAAAATATAATAATAAATAATTGTGTCCATAAAGACAAATTTAATGTACAATTAAATATATTCCAACAAAATATATGTATAGGCATCCAAGAAATGTAAAACTAAACGTTTTTGAGCATTTTCAAATAACTAAACCAAATCGTTCATGTTGAAGCAGCATGCCAAAAAATTAAAGCCGTGAATTTAATTTTCATGATTCAAGTTTTTCTTGTAAATTGTGTGGTTTTAAATTTATATAAAAAAAGAAAGAGAATCAACAACAAAAAAGGGGTGATATGATAAAGTTTGGACAGTTTTCAAGGCTGACAAAACCCATTTTAATAAAGTCTAGGATAGAAAAAGCTCCTTTAAAGCACACGCAAAATCTCTCTGCCGTCAGTGAGCAACCAGTGCGTGTTTTTTTTTTTCTAAAATATTTTTGCTTGTTTGCACAGCAAATAGCAAATAGTGTTTTTTTTTTTCATAATGCAGTTTCTCTCGCCCAAGTGGAGGTTGGGAATGGCAGTTGAGGCGGCTGCGAGGTGGTCACGGGGGGAAGAGGCTCCGACGATGCGGCCGTCGCCGCCGCCGACTCGCAATTTAAATCCAAGTAGGGGTTGCACAAAACAACAATCGTCCCGTTATCATCCGCTTTTTTTAATTCGCAGTTGCCACCGATACTTTTGCACTGAAAGATAGATGTTTTGCTTTGCTCAGAGAACAAAATTTTTTGAAATATCAATAACACCTACTTGTTTATTAGTCTGCATACCAGGAAATGGAAGCATTTATGTACGTATGCGATCGGTGTCAGAGCAATTAACACAGAGGTTTAATTTTGTGAGTTAGCCAAATAATGATAGAGACACGTTATGACTGAATCATGCTTCAAAATCCGTGCGACGAGTAAAGAAATTTATTTATATATCATTTTGGTTTATTTATTATGGTTGACGGTTAAAAGCAGCCACCTCCGCTGTATATTAGAGCTAAGTGTTTTTGTGAATTATTTGCTTAAGTGGATCGAAATTCCAAGTAAATTATTTCATTTTAATGTAAACTTTGTGAATTTAATTTAATTTCTTTTTCCTTGAAATGGAGTGTTCATTAAAAAAACGAAGTACTAAAATTAAACAAAAAAATCCAAATCCACTGTAAATTTCAAGTCTCTTTAGCAGATGTACGCATCCATTATTAATATTTTTTTGAAGAAAAAATGTCATCCTCATTGGCTATATAGCGATAATATTCACTAAACAATTGTACACACGTTTTGAGTTTCATGCTGTTGCTTCTTCTCGTTATATGTAAATTGATATTAATTGTATGTGTACACCTTTGGATATGGAACACATTTATCGTTATACAATACTGTTGTAGAATAATTGAGACATAAATTGATTGAGGACTTTGTGTGGGAAACATTTTAGCACAATGAGGAATGTCCGATCAACTACTTGCCTGCAACACAAATATGTATATGCGGTGACAATGGAACTAAAAGACACACTCAGATATTGTTGATTGCATAAAAAATATAGGTGCCTTTTTAATTATTTTGCAGTACGAATCTAATACAACGAGGGCGCTTGCCTCTCCCACACCATACAAATAATGGAAACTAAAAGCAGCGGCTTGATAAGACAAATTTGCGTGATTGTGTCACTTTTCTGGCTTTGCAGGCACAAACAACCACGTTGGCCACAAATAACTAGCTTGGTGTTTTTCTCTCTTTTTTTGTTTTTGTTTGCACCAAATCTAAAGTTTTGTGAGTTTGACGCTGCAGTGGTCAAAAAACCAGGCAAGGTGTTAACTTCCTGCGCACTTTTCATACATAAATTCAATAGCACCACAATGTAAAAAGGGATGGTTCGAAAATTATTTTCCAAATAAAAATCAATTCGGACCGTGTGAGTCGGTTCGCTGTAAAATTTTCTCTCGATTGTTCTCTTCTCAATAGGGTGTGTTGTCGAGAAAACGCATGTCAGAAAGAATATAGAAAGAATCGAAACAGGGAGAAGAATCAAAGAAGAGTGAAGTTTGAAAAATATTTTTGTAATCTAAAGAGGATCAGAGCTCTAATTGTGTTTTTTTTTTCCAAGTTTCTTCAGAAAGAATAAAGGATACGTTTAAGAAAAGTTGAATGGCAGCAATATAATTAGTTTGTCGCGGGGTCCTACTCAGGAATAAGTGAATAGTTGTAAATGTTAGTTTTTATGTACAGATACGCGCGTGCAAGTTTCAAACTAATTCGATTGTTGCTGTTCGTAATAATTAAAGGAGAGAAAGTCAAAATGAGAATCAGGGTAAGAGATGTTCACATGGCAGCAAATTATGTACAAATGTATTTACAAAAAAGATTGAGTTTTTCGAAAAATTCAACATTCTGGGGCCAAGAAAAGCTTGAGAGAGAGAGAGCAGTAAAATAATTAATTTACTTTTCATTACGAAATTTAACACTAATTTTTGACTAATATTATCAAATTTAATCAATAAAAGCTCTTCTCTGGTCTATATCAATTAATTTAATTTGGATTTATTTTGAAATTCATATTTTGGGGTTTCTCTTAAAGTGAGTGTGACAAACTAAACGATAAGAAGCACTAAACCAACCAGTGGGGTCAGCCAAATGCCGTTTCAGAAGACAGAGTGAGTAAAGAGAAGAGAGGCTACAGATCCTTGCCTGATTTTTACTTAATAATCACAGTAATGTAGTTTTGCACTTTGAGAAAAGAACACAAGAAAAATGTTTGATATGCACGGAAACGTTTATGTTGAATGTGTGTTTGCGAGCGACGACCTAGTGCGGACGGAATCAATCTGCCCTTAAAAATTCATGAGAGATATATCCTTCAATTATTCAAAGTCGCACGGATTTTGGAATAATCAAGTAGACACAAATCCGTGCGCATGACGAGCGAGACAAATAAAGGACGACAGACTGATTTCCGAGCGCTTTTAGTCACACACATACACACACCTGGCCTTATTTCCACGCATATAGCTCTACAAGAAGTATACGAGGGAGCATAGGAGGAAAACCGGGGGTATAGAAAGTTGTGAGTTTTTTTTTTCAAATATACCAATCAAAAATAATAAGATACTTTTAGTTTAGTCAAAAATACTGTGAGAACTGTTTTTTGGTTAATAGAGTTCAGTTGGAAAAACAAAAAGTAGCAAAAAGTAGTCTTTGTTCATGTCGAGACACGTACGGAAAAACAAAAGAAAAATGACACGAAAAAACAGCAGCGCTTTTCAATACCTGAGTTTGAAGTCTGGTTAGACCGCGGATCCACAAGATCTGACCCGCCCTGGGCTTCTTATCAGAGTCAGAATCGAGTCCCTCATCGCCCAATGCTATTGTCTCCTCCGGATGTCCGCGACCCCAGCTGCAATTCATTTCCTCTCATACCAGCTCGTTCGCCAACATTCTTTTTTCTCTCTTTCTTTGTTAGAATATGTATATAATTCTGGCTTAATAATGATTTTCTAGCGAATTTACTCTACCGACTAGATTAGTAAAACGTCCAAATGAGAGAATGTGACACAGTTTCTGGTCGGCAGGAGAATGAGATACTTTTTTTGCATACTCACGAGAATATTTTTGGTATCGTTCTGGTGGGAATGGTTGTGACGAGCTGGCCCCAGAGCAGGGTTCCTACCCCAAAGAAGAGACACCACAGCCACTGTTCCAGGGTCAAACTCTTGCATGAAAATGCGACTCCACCAAATTGAACAATGAAGACCTTTACACGGAAAATGGGTTAATCAATCTCCGTTTTCATACATGAATAAGAATTTGCATGCATTATTTTTTAGCAATTATTTTCACAACTTTCTTTGTGTACCTGGGAGAGCATTGTAGTGATCCAAATGGAATAGAAGATGGGATTTGTGAAAATCCCCTGAAAGACGTTTCTCTGGCCGTGAATTTTCCTGGCGTTGATTTCATTGAACAGGGTCATCATGACGAACGTGTTGAAGATGATGGTGAAATGCTCGCCCGGGACACCGTCCGGCAGTGATCGTCCCGACTCAAGATCCAGTATTTTGTCACCTTTGAATGGATAAATAGAACCAGAGTTATTTAAATACAAAATAAGAAATTTAATGAAAATTAAAGATTGATTAAAAATTGCGCACATTGAAAGAAAACTGAAAGGAAGCTCTAGTCTTGCAAAAAATTCATGAAGTAAATGAGGCTTTCAATTTTAATCTAATTTCTGAGCTGGACTTCTACCAAAAGGTCTAAAATTAAATTTCCTTACCGAAGAAAAGCAGGGTGAAAATGACAACAAGTTGGTAGATGGCTTGGCCAAGGATGTTCTTCATCATCGTTCTGGAAATCAATGGCTTGGTTCGTCCGTACGGTTTTCGCATCAAGAGGTCGGGGGTTGGCATCTCGGTAGCCAAGGCCAGCGAAGCCAAAGTGTCCATGATCAGGTTCACCCACAGCATTTGAACCGCCTAATAAATTTAATTCAGTGGAATTATTTTATCAGAATAAAAATTATAAAAAACCTTCCAAAATTCAACTTCATTTAAAAAATTAAAATATATCAAAGTTGTCAAAAATTTCACATTTTTTTTCATAAATTATTTGTCCACAATTATTATTCCCTCTGCGACTACCTTCAAAGGACTATCCTGAACCGCGCAAGCACCAATGAAGGCGACAATGACAGCGACGACGTTCACAGTCAACTGGAACTGCAGAAATTTTGCAATGCTGTCGTACACGTTTCTTCCCCACATGACCGCCTTGACGATGCTGCTGAAGTTGTCATCAGTCAAAATGATATCAGACGCCTCCTTGGCCACATCAGTGCCAGCAATGCCCTAGAAAAAATTAAATTTTTTACATAATTTCCCTAAATATTATTGCTTCAAAAAGGAATTATCCATTTACTTAAAACTAGATAATGGTATGCATTTTATGCCTTACCATGGCGAATCCGACGTCGGCCTTCTTGAGAGCAGGGCCGTCGTTGGTGCCGTCACCGGTGACGGCCACCACCTCGCGGCTCTCGGTGACTCTGCTGTCGATGATGCCTTTGACGAGGATGTATTTGTCAGTTGGCGAAGACCGCGCCAGCACGCGCAACTTGGGCCACACCTTGTCCAAGAGGTGCTGCTGAACCTCGCCGTTGCTGTCCCGGATGCGTCGGTTGAACTCTTTGCCCTCGAGGATGAGGAAGTCGTCCCCGGGCTTGACGATGCCGCACTTCATCGAGATGGACCTCGCCGTGTTTATGTTGTCGCCGGTCACCATGCGCACCGTGATGCCCGCCCGCTGACATTTGCGAATTGCATCAGGAACCTGAAGAAGTAAAAATTTATAGTTTTTATTTTAGTTTTGGGTTTTGGCACTTTTTATTTAACAAGGTCGATTTTGAAAGCTAATATTCGCGCAATTTGAATCACTTGTTCTGTAATTTTCCTCTTTTCCATTAATTTAATTTAATTTTAAATAACTCATCTTTAAACACTCTTTTATTTTCTCAAATACGAGTTGAAAAACGCACCTCAGGTCGCACAGGATCTTCAATGCCAACGACGCAGAGGCAGGTCAGGTTGCTGCAGATGTTCTCCTCGTCATCCCAGTTGGGCTCGTTGTCAATGTGCACCTGGTTGATCTCGGCCTTTCCGGGCACAAAGTCCCTGTAAGCGACCGAAATGGTTCGCAGGCCGTCGCAGGCCATCGGCTCGATCACCTGCCGCACCAATCGGTCCTGCATTTCGCGCGTGAACTTCTCCAGGTGGCCGTCTTTGCCGTAGATGAAAGCGCACCTGCCATTTGTAATTTTTATTGCTTGTAACTAATAAAAAGCGAGGACATACTTTTTCATGAGGATTTCGGAGGCGCCCTTGGCGAAGAGACGGTAACCACCCTCTGGCCTCGGAACAACCGTACTCATGGACTTGCGCACCGAGTTGAAGGTGTACACCCTGGTAAACGACTCCTCGGGCTGAGTCTCTCTGATGGCCTCGTAGTTTTTGCCCATCGCTTGCACGAATCCCAGCAAAGAGCACTCAGTCTTGTTGCCCACTTGCTTGGGAAGCTCGCCCGGATCTGCGGCCTGTGCAAAAAAAAACCAGTTGAAAAATTTCTCCATTTATCAAAGCATATTTATGTATTCTTTTGTGTAGTTTGCTCATGCAAATTTTTTTTCAGTGAATGGAGAATATAAATCCTTTGGGAGTTGCTGATTTCATAGGCTTCAATTTTTTTACCAAATCTACCACTTTTTAAATTCACAATTGAAAATTATAATCAAGTTTGATTTCCCTTTAACGGTTGACTTGTAAAAAAATTTAGTAATTTCTCGATTTCTGATTTCAGGAGGGATCCTGAGAACTGCTATGACTGTCTAATTATCAAGGTAGGAACATAATTATTTTACTAATTACAATTATGAAATGGCGCTCATTGAGCAAATAGTAAATTAGTTGCAAATTGTGTGCAAATTAGATAATAATGCAAACACAAACAAAATTTACATGCTTTTTTTCTTTAGATTGATCTTGAAGCTGATATATTTTCTCCGTTCGTAATTCATAATTAAAAAATTTAAATTACCATGACTCGCGACGTATAAGCGCAGTTAATGGCGATAGCGTGGATCAACAATTTCATGACTGCCTCGGGGTATTCTGAATACTTCGGGGTGGTTTTGCATAATTTCTCACATATATAAGACTGCACAACAGTCATTCTGTAATTAAACTCGGCCAATTAGAATCATTTCGGAAATAAATATTAATTATTATAAGTACCTGTTTGTAGTTAATGTTCCTGTTTTATCAGAGCAAATGGCAGTGGCATTTCCCATTGTTTCGCAGGCATCTAAATGCCGTACTAAGTTGTTATCTTTCATCATTTTCTGTAAAAAAAAAGGCGATTTGCATTTAAAATTGTCATCAAATCGAGTTAATTTGTACTTTGACGGAATATGCTAAGGAGAGGGTGACAGCCAATGGAAGTCCTTCAGGCACTGCGACCACCAGCACGGTAACACCAATAATTAGATGCTTCACAAGCTGATTGGCATACGAGTTCTTCCATGATTTTCCCTCGATAATAAAAGTTTGTACACAAAACTGAATCACAAGCAGCACCACTGTAAGCACAGCAATTGTAGAACCTGCAAAGAGAAGAGTTTCGTCGTGGATTATTTGCAATTTAATTGAATTTTTTAACTCACCAGCATAGCCAATTTGGATGGCCAACTTGGTCAGCTTGGCTTGCAAGACCGACTTTTCCTTTTTGTGGCTTTCTTCCGCCTCTTTAGGCACCACAACGCTTTCCACAGGCTCGCTTTTAGCTGCAGTGCTTCTGCTGTCCATGGCCGCCGCTTTCTCTTCACCTGCACCCCGACCATTCAGAATTTAATTAAATTAAGCACAAAAAATGCATATAATTAAACATCAAAAAGTATATATTATAATAATACAAAGAGAGTTTTATATAAGAAAATTCTTATTGAAAGCATGCAAGGAGGATGAGAAGGAAATGAACGTGTTTGATCATAGTCACCTGTCAAACTCTTCTTGCTCCTCTGTTTTTTTTCTTCTGCGAAGGGTGGCATGCAACAAGGGAGTAATGAGATGGGAAGAGCTGATTATTTTTTGCCTAGGGGTGTTATTAGATCAAAATTTCCAAACATGATTTAGAAAATGCAATTCCGCTTGTTTAAACTTGTCAATTTCTTGAGATTTAATGTGTTTGAAGCACATTGATACATAATATTGCTCTGTTTCCAAAAACAATCAGTAAATCTATTCAAGCCGGAACACACAAAAAGCCAAAAAAGCCGCTCTGTACTTGCTGGAAATGTAAATTTTCAACATTGTTTTAAATATTCGGCGAGTTTATATCCCTTTTTTTATTTCACCTGATATTTTTCAATTTATTTAGTTAAATGTTTGTGCTGTACACTTTAAAAGTAAGTGCATGAATTATAACTTATTTGGAGTTTAAAGTTCTTTTCATTTTTACTATCTAAAAAAACTGGATCAAAATTATACAATGTTAAAACAATACGTTTTCGTCGTTTTTTATCCTCTGTTGTATATTTATTATTATTATTTAGTTTTTTTGTGTCATTTTTTGATTAGGTGGGTCGATTAATCTACAGTGAGTGGTAAAATGAGTGACACAGCATAATGTTATTTACAAATTTTTTTACATCGACCACACCGACCTGCGATCTTACTCTGGTTGCTGCATGTTTTTTCTCACCTTTTTTGCGCTTCTTCGCTTCTGCCTCTTGCTCGTCCACGGCAGCTCCGAGCAACGTGAAAATGATGCCGGCCTGCGAGTTGACACCCACCGCAGCAACCAACATTTTCCCACTACCCTCCATCACGTGCGTGCCTGTCGAAAATTAATTAATTGTGCAATTGATTGAAGAAAAAAATTTCTACCTGAGAGCACCATAGGATCTAAATTTTCGCCCTTTTTTACATGGTCTGATTCGCCGGTGAGCGAAGACTCATCCACTTTTAAGTCATTGCTTTGAATAAGGATTCCATCCGCCGGTAAAAGGTCTCCGTACTTTATCTGTTTGAATTTTAAATATATAAATTTTTTAATTATATTTTATTTTTATTTTTGTAAATAAAAAAACCTGGCAGATGTCTCCAACAACGATGTCTCCCACGAATATTTGTTTCACTTCCCCTCCTCTGATCACAGAAAATTTGTGTTCTCCCTCAATTTGGCTCTGTAAGCCGCGGAACTGCCGTTCTTTGGTGTAGTCATTGAAGGCGGTCACAATCACAACAACAATAACAGAGATGAGAATCGCTAACCCTTCTATCCAACCATGGTGGGCTTCTTCGTCGTCTAGCGGCCCGGCTGTCAAATTTATTTATAATTAATTGATTCAACTAATGTCAAACAAAAAATCCATCAACATCAAACATATTTTTAATTTTCTACTTTGTTACAATGAAAATCTTCAATGTAAAAATTTTTACTTCGAATTACAGAGCGAATCAAAAGTTTTGCAACTCCATAATTAGAAGTTGTACCATCAAAATTGTAAATTAATTTTAATTGAAAATAAAGTTTTAAAAAAATAGTGTAATTATTAACTTTGAACTCACCTTCCAGTTCGTCTGCTGGTTGGTAAAAGGATAGGCCTAACGATACTAACGCAGCTATTTCCAAGATGATCAGTGTGACATCTTGCAACGCCTCCCAGATAAGCTGTAGGAACGTTTTGGGTGGTTTGGGAGGTATGGTGTTTGAGCCAAAAGTCTCTCTTCTGTGCTCGAGGTCATTTTCCGTGCCGCTCAGGCCTTCGCTGGTCGACGTGTACAGCTTCCTGCAGATGTCCTGTACACCGCCAAAGTCCTCCAGCTTGGCCACCCCCTCGCGACCGCGGTGCTCCATGAGCTCCCGCAGGTGCTTGAGGGTGACCCCGTACATGGCAGGTCTCCCGTCTATAGTCGCCATGTCCTCTCCTACCACCAGTCGCTGCAAAACGTTCAAAGTTCCCAAATATATGTTCTAATTTTTTCACCTTTAAACTGGGCATTTTACTCAAGCGAAGATGAATTTATTTAGAGAAAGAGTAAAAAAACCTTTGGATTAAGTTTTTTTTACTCTTTAAAACAGTTTGGATTTCAAAAAGTTTCAAAGATAAATCTGATATATTTTCAACCTTAAATTTACAAGAAAAATTGTTTGTTAATTTTTCCCAAACAATTCGTTGAAATTATTTGTACAAATAAAATATAAAACATATATTTTAACCAATTAAAAACGAGCGTTGCTTACCTTCTACCGTGGACACGGCTTCCAATTTTTATCTAAGTGCCATTGAAAAGGTTGAAAATGCCACTCTGCAACAGAAAGCAAATCACGATTGGAAACGTGTCAGAGAGTTTGAAACACACGTGGCGAAAAAGGCCGCGCGACAAAGGGGCATGTGGTGATTTGAAATGACAGTTGGCAGCTTCGAATAATTACGGGCTCGATTCTTATTTTGGGAACGGAGAGCGGTGCCTCACTTGAATTATGACTGACGGGGCCGATTTTTAATAGTTGGTGGAGGACGAAGAAGAATAAAGCAACCTGCGCCTCTCGGGTGTCGAGCGTGTTGCATACCTAGTCGCAACATCTTTCAACAGGCCGCATCGAGGACGAGGGGCCGGAGCAGTGTTGACTCTCAATGAGCAGAGTGCCAAAGTAAAAAAAAATCAAAGGGGGGAGAAGAAAATGAACAAAAAGCCACTTTATTTGATAAAGTGTAAAATTGCAAAATCGTCTTCTAGTGTCAATATATAAAATATTTATTGTGGAACAAATGTATATCAGATTTAAAGATAGTATATTGCAGTTTATATGCATCTATTTTTTTATTAATTATCTCGTGGTTCAGGATTTTGAAATGCAATTTTATTCCAAAACAGCAGCAAATAATATCATTGGATTTACGTGTTTGCGCGGAAATGATTCGGAAGATAAATTTATATTTTAAGGCTAAGTCATACAATGATTGCTGTACTTACTGGGATGATTGAAAATAAATTAATTATTGATGTGAAATATTGGTAAATTTTCAGGAAAAATAATGTATAAAATATAATAACAACAATACGAATTTGTATTTAGTTAGATCAAATTAGAAATTCAAAAATGATAGATAAAAATCACCATACAAATTGCTTTGACCTGACCCAATTTAAGCTGTTGAGATGAAAGAAATTAAAAAATCAAGCATTGTGGTGTAGGTTTAAATAAAAGGCTTTTAAAACTCCATATGAGTCTCTAAATACTCATCAAATTTGTTTTATTATCGAGTTTATTAATAGAAATTTGTATTTAATGATACCTAGAAAAAAAACTATTGCGCTTTTTTCTACTTTTTAAACTGTATTTCGTCATCCGTTCCTATCTTTGGGGGAAATCCAAATAATGTGTGTACAGAGTACGGCTGACCCATTTGGGATTTTCAAATTCCGTATGTAATTCCTACTTGCGTCGGTGAAGCTCAACAACAATAATTGATTGGATTTCTGTTTGATTTTTGTCCTCAGAGTGGCGAACTTTTCGGGAAGATTTTTTTGCCCTTTGAAGCAGCGCGCAGGGAGGAAGAAGTTTGAGTGCGAGGGAGGACGGATGGATGTAGGTCGGAAGGCTATGGCTGCCGAGAGGAACACAAAGCGAGTGGCGTGCACTGGCAAGCAGTGAGCAGGCAGGCAGTATTGATTCACCTCTGCGCGCGGCAGCAGTGGCTGCAATCACCTCGTACCCCGCTTATCCCTTTGGCAAGTAACGAGAGAGAGAGAGAGCGCGAGAGAGAGAGAGAGAGAGAGAGAGAGTCCACCCACCACAAACTGGGTCAATATTTGCCGCCTAGCTGCTAGCGAAAAGGGCTTATGCAGTCGCCGCCGCCGTTTCGGCTCTTTCTCTCTCTTTCTTTTATTATTGTTCTCACGCCGCGGCTAAACGGGTTACAAATCTTAAAGGACCTTCCCCAACAGCTTGGAATTTATTTAATTGTATGTATTCTGCTAAAAAAGAAAACTTTTTCGCCGTAATGAAATGTCGTTCTTTCGGGACACAGCAGGTGAAAGTTGCCGGTTCCAATTTCTTTCCGTTGCCACAAAGTAAGATTTTTGCATAATAAGTGGTGTGGACCTCTGAGGATTCAACAGCACCCCTGTTGTTTGTTTTGCCGCCATCAGATTAAATTTCATATGTGGCTCAATTTCCTGCCAACGATCATCGCTAGTTTCATACATACAAATTCAAAATTGGCAAAGAGCTTCCGAAGCTTCCCATTCTTAAAATATATGCAAAAACTGGTTCAAATTCACGGCTTGAATTGAAACTATTGTGTAATCATTATTATTAATTATTTTCAATATCGGAAAGTGAGAATTTTCACGTATATAATAAAAATTGAATGTCAAAAGTAAAAATATATGTTAAAAAACCTTTATAATTTTAACTAAGCACACTTCATTTCGTTTTTTACTTTGGTTTTTTCTTATTATTTTCAAATTCTGATAAATGATCTGTAGCTTTCATAGTTCAGAATTTTGCTTAGATATATTATGTATGTTTTGACTTTTTTTTGAAAATTTAATGAATTCAATTTTATTTATGAAAAGGACATTTTCAGCAATGAAAAGGCATCTATTATGGTTCGCTCATCGAGTATTTTGAGTTTCTATAAAATTATTGTATTTTTTTAAAGAAACAAAATTCAGAAGCACACCGTATTTTTTTTTTAATTTTTTTTATTTTTTGAAAAAATAAAGAAAACATAAATTGTATAAAACAGACACCACGTTCCATCTCATGACTTGAGTAAAATAAACAATAATAGTAATACACAAAAGGACTTTTAAAATATTATTAAATAAATTCACTTAAGGCTGCTTGCACGCCACTTTTCAGAGGGAGTGAGCAAGAAAAATAAGTTCCTACTTGCAATATAAGAATAGTTTTTTTTAATTAATTCATATTTCTTACATAAAATTAGACAAAAATATAAAAATGAGCAACATATTTTTGGTAATTTCAAACATTTGTTAAGTGGAAATTTGAATAATGGTGTTTAATTTTATTTTGTTTTATTAAGGCTGAAGATCGTTGTGAATTTTGGATCTAAACTTCAATATAATTCAATTGAATAGAATTTTCTAATCGAGATATACAATTTTTTTCTGATTCCTTAATTTGTAATTAGTTCCTATATAGACTATTCACCTCTAAATTCTCTACAAATATATTGTATTTGAACTTTCAACACTGGAAAAAATATTAAACACCACCAGAGGAGAAAATTTGATAGTAATCTAATTATGAAATGATTAAATTTTTTTTTTTTTTTTAAAATGCATCAGCATTTAGTCCCAAAAATTGTTTTCCTTTCAATTTTCAATATACGATTTTCGTCTGTTTTCGTCATAACTTGTACAAAGAGAACTACAACCATAATTTTATTTTGTGTCTGGAATTAAAAATTAATAAATTAATTAACCAATTATATTTGCGGGAAAACAAATTTAAAAATTAATTGGGACAGATTTTTCATCCATGGATATTGTTAAGTATGTATATTAAAGTGGCGCTCTCGTCAGAGACTACTTGAATATTTCTCATTGAAAAAAAAACCGTGCTATCTCTAATTGATCGGCCCTCGAGAGGGGCCATTGTGTTTTGCAGCATCAACGGGCGCACATTACACAACACACACTACTTAAATCGCGATTAAGCTCTTCTTCCTTGGCGCTGAGAGAGTTCGAGAGAGACTACGCTGCTCAGCGATAATTCCTGATGATTCTCTATTAATTCGGTTTGCGCCTGGCGCGCTGCATCAGATCAAGTGCACACATTCTTCAGGCCACTCAACCTGCTTGCAGCTTTGCTGACTAAGCCGCGCCACGTCCAAATTGCCTCTTTCTCTCCAGCAGCCAAACGCGAGGCACGAATATCGGCATGACCGCCGGACTACAAGGCGATCGATGAATTGTAAATTTGCCCGGTTCGTGTTGAAAAATCGTCAGAAGCAGGAAAGAACAGAAAGGGCTCATTTCGGTCTGCGGTAATAACCCTACGAAACTGCCCTCTCTGCCGTCAAATCGATTCTGCAGTAAAAATTTCAGGTGAAATAACATTATTCTCGTAGCAATTGATGTTTGAAAACATTTAGATAGTTTTCAAGTCTTCACAAGAAACAGCCCTAAAATAAAATAACCAAAACTGAAAATTGGAATTCGGTTTAAAAAATTTGCAGTACGTTTTAAACTTCAAAAGTAAATAATTAAGAGCTGTGTCTGCAAATCAGAAATCAGTTATATTAGAAAATGAAATTTAACTAAAACCCCTAGTTTTTCACAAAAAATAATTTCAATTCAAAATTGTTATTCTTTGTCAATTTTTACCGGTTTTGATAATTGGAAATTTTCAGTATTTTAGAGTTCTCTTTTCATAATTAGAGGGAGAGGTGATTTTTTTTATTTTTTCAAGTCAAATAAAAAGTTTCTTATGAGCAAAATAGAGACTGCAAAACATTTTAAAAGTTACGTAATCCACCCGAAATAGGAAAAAAATTTGACCACGAAGTAATTATATCATGAAACTTTTTATCGTGAAATGTCTCAGCAGAATTAACAACACATATATAAACAAAATTTCCACGTTCCTAATGTATGGCCTGGCAAATCGGACACATGGGCGACACCGTTTGAGATGCTCTTGCATAACAATTTCACCGAAGTGTAAACAGCTTCGAGTACCGGCCAAGTCTCGTATCCTCGAATCACGCTGTTCTGCTCTGTGACTAATGCAACTTATTGGCTTTATCGATCTAGCAACACTGATGCACTAGCCCAGCCACTCGCGACACCAGCTCATAATCATTATTAGCTCGCGCCGATGAATAATTCTCCTTCCAAATTTCACCCTAATTAACAAGTTATTTTAACACGTCTTAAAAAACGACTCTAGAATAATGCGATTAATTCTTTATGGATTCCTACCGAATTAATGACATAATTAATACCCAAACCACTTCAAGAGTAAATTTCTTAAACAAATAATGGTGATGCTAATTTTTTATTAAAAAAATATGTCAGATAAAAAAGCAATTAGGTTAATTTAAAAAATTGCGGTTGTACTTTTCCCGAAATCAGAAGAAAATGTCTTCTTGAATTTGATTAAATTCAATATTTGTATATTTCAAATCATCAAATCAGCATGGCAATATCTCCACTGGTAAAACTCGTTTTCAAATAAATAAATAAATGCACTTTGTTAATTAAATTATTGAAAAAATTTGATTGACATTAAGAGCAACCCTTGAGTCGAAAGAGCAACCCTATGCACGAGAGTGTCGTCGATTTTCTTTCAACACACAGCAGAGGGCAGATTGGAGCTGGACAAATTAGACTCATAACATGGAAAACTCCTATGGTTTCGCGGGTGTATAAACCGGCTTTTAACTTAAATGATCCAATTTGCGCTTTCTGCCGCGGATTCCAATGTAAACCGCTGCACTTTTGAGCACCGCTTGCCCCCGCGTGTCTTGGCCCTGCCTGTAGTAAAATCTCGGCCGATTGTTTTGGGGATTTCCACGCGAAACCGACGGAAATTTACAGTTCATAAATCCATTGACGTGCACAAGCGGGACCATTTATCTCTCGCAGAAGAAAGATTTCTCGAAATAGAGCACCACGTGAACGTGTCAGTCCAACTTAAAACACCCCTTCCCCTTTTTGCTTGTGTGTCAGAAAACAGGGGCCACGAGATTTCATCTACATTTTTCAGCCGTGACACAGTCAGAGACTTCTTTTACTTGACATCGACCTGCCGGGCTCGTTTCTGCGTGCGCAGGACAACTTTAAAGCGGATAATTATCAATTTAAATCCAAGTTGGTGAACCTGCAAATTACATAGCTATCGGCCAATGAAATTGAGGAGAATATTCTTTGAATCTTCAGTTGCTCCTAAATCGATTCTGCTCGACGTGACTTGTTTGATTGAAATCTAAAATCAAAACTAAGAAAAAATTTCAATCTAGTATCTTAAATTAAAAAAAAGTATTAAAAAAAACCTTCATGCATAACCGGTTTCAGGTTTCAATTCAAATAAAATTCTTGCCAACAATAATAATTTTGAACCCAAATTAAGAAATCTCGGTATTTGTTATTCTGCTTTTGACGTTCAATGTGAACGTTCAACGGATTTTGATTTTTGAATTGAAATTCGCCTGTGATTGAGAGAATATCGGTCGTTCGGCAGGCGGGCAAAGGAGGCAAGGCAGGCAGGCAGGCGCTTTAAGTGGCGCGCGTTTTCACGGAACGAGCCTGGCAATCAATAGCGCGCGCGGTGCCCGACTCGGTTGGTTCGTTCGGCCGGCGCGGGCTCTTCGTTCGTATGTACGAGAGGTCGACGATTTATGTGTGCAATAATAAGTTTGAGAATGGATTTGTAAAGGCTTCTCTTGTTGCGGCGGCTGCCACTCAATTTAGGAGGAATCGTTCACCTGCCTCTCGTAGCCATCAAACGTACAAAAATAAAATCCAGAAATTTTGACAATGCGAACCGTAACTTGCAACGGGCAGTGCTGCCAAAGCATCCCAAAATATCCTCACATAAAATTTCAATCTCACGCCACACACAACCAACTCCAATCAAAATCACTTGTGTTGGATAAAAAGTAACAGAAAAGGAAAGAAAAAATTTGAGTATTTTTATTAGTTGGAAATTTTACCAATTTTCTTTAAATTTCGTTTGAATAAATATTTTCAGAAAACGCTTTTAGGTGGATAATTAAACTAAAAAATAAATGAAATGAAAATAGAAAATTTGAGTTGAAATTTTTCCAATAATTATTTTGGTGAAACTTAAATAATGCTCAAAATTTCTTCAAAGTATAATCAAAATTACAAATTTATTTTCAGATTTTTGAAAAAAATTAATGTTACGAACATAATTTTTCAATGACACATTTGCAGTGCATATATTTTTTTAAAAATTATTAAAATCTAATAGAATCCACATTTAATTAAATCCTCTCTAGTTTTTGGAAGGGTGCCCTGACTTTGGAGGCTGGCGGTCAGCGGCGGGCCTCAAGTCTGCAGCTCGGGCGTGCAATTATTGGAACTCCGCCCTGGCGGAATCGGAAAAACTCGCGCTTTGATGTGGCAGAGAGAGAGAGAGGGATAGACAGACCTCCCTCTTATAATCGCAGAGTCCAATTATGACGCAAAAGAAATACAAAATTTGGCAAGTTAAACTGCAAACTTGGAGATCATTCAGAAGAGAAATGAAACGGGAGCGGCTCCAAGAGAGAGAACCAAGCAAAGAAAGAAAGAAAGAGAGAGAGCAGCGTTCGACCCCGTTCTTTGAGCCCTCGCTTTGAGGATCGACGAGTGGAAACAGCCCCTTTTAAAAATCGATAATAATGTCTGTGGAGGCACAAGTCGGCTTTCATCTCATTCTTTTCCATCACAACTCATTATTTTCTCCTTTGATTAAAATAAGAAGGAGAATTAAAGAAAATGCAACGGAGAATAATTAAAAAATTGCTAACAAACTGGATCGAGAGATTTAGCAGATTTTGGTCAAGTTTCTGTCCGCAAGAGACGTACCTCAGGGCCGGGGTCGGTCGGCTGCCTGGTGCTGGTCGGGACGACGAGGGCAAGCAGGGGCTCCGCACAGCACAGCACACTACGGTCTCTCGCACGCGTTCTCGGCGCCGCACAGAAAAGCGTCTCAGTCAGAAAAGCACCGCAATTGGAACCATGCGTCCCAGTTTTGGTTCGCAGCGAGTCGGCCGCCGATCGCCAGAAAGCAAGGGATGAGACTTGCTTTAGTACGTGGGTGTGTACATTAAACCAGGCCAAAAGAAGCACAGCTAGAGAGCGAGAGAAAGAGACCGACTCTCTCGCACCGCTCTGGCCCCCATGCGCGCATGCGCCCACCCCTGGCAACCCGCCGACCGACCCGAAACCGAAAAACCGCCGGTGCCCAAAATTAGCAACCAACCTCACAGACTCGCCCCCCAAAAACGGGAAAGTTCGTCCGAAAGGAAATGATATAATTATCAACCCAGGAAAAATTGACAAATTCGGATTTTTCAACTGCCGGAAAATTTTTGCACAAAATAAATTGTTTTATTTGAGGATTTTCCTTTTATTTTTTCTAATACGTTCAGGGACCCAATTTGGGGCCCTAGGAGAGTGAGGGTGGCTCGCAGCTAGGGGCAGCACTGACCGAGGCAGCCTTGGTGCTCGGATCGATTTTACGCAGGACTGGTGCGCCGAAGTGAGCACCAAAGAGCCACTTTTGTAGTGCGCCGCCCTTGCCCCCGCCGCCGCCCCTCGGCAGCCGCCGCCGCCGCCGCACATCCATAAAGCGACGCACGTCACTCTTGCTGACCGTGACGTCATTCTTGCACCCCGGCCTCACTTCAACCACCAGCACCGAATGCACGACGAGCACCAACAATTTCAGCGTGCGTGCGACAGCACCGGGCTTATTTGCATTTTCGTGTCAGATGCCGGTGTGCCTGTTAAGGAAAATGATATAAATTCTCAAGGTCTGCGCTCCGGGGGCAAATGTGCCGCCATATAAAGTTGGACGAAAAAGTCACAGCAGGAAATCTTTTGAATCGATTAACTTCAATTTGATTGCAAATTCCTATTTAAATTAAAAGTGCGGACAAATTTTTTTTTTAAGTTTTGCAGTAGAAGTTCACAGTTCGAGGGTTGATTCATGGTGATTTGAATTTAAATTCGACTTTTCCTCGATGGGTCTTTTGTGAGTTTTTATTGTTTAGTAAAAAACAAATATCCTGCTCTACATTGTCAAAATGTTTTCACAGCTCATGAATTATGGCTGCAGCCCGCAGCCAAAACATGTAGAGCAGGATATTGTTTTTTCTTAAACAATCAAAACCACAAATACCCATCGAGGAAAAGCCGAAATTCAAACCACCATTTTCTTTAAGTATCTCTATTAAAAAATAACACTCATCAAAAACACGGCCCTCAAAATAATAATTAAAGGAGGCTTTAAATTTTTAATTATTTGTCCAGCACTGGTCCAGTAATTCAATTCAATTAATAATTAGTAAATGTGTGGTGGATATAATTATTGCAAAATTGAAAGCTCAAAATTTTGGCTCTTCATTCCATTATTTAAGCCATTTATTTCGCGCAGTTTCCGTAACAAATTTTTAATATTCAAAATCCCTTATTTTTTCACACAAGCACAATTGCATTTTAATTTTCAATTTTTTAAATTTTGCATGAAGAATCAAATTTTTTATGTACTATTATTATGCAATGTGATGAAAAATAAATCAAACTTGCAAAATTTGAGAATATCCATTACATATAGATCTCTATTTAAAGTTCAATTGTGATCTTTATGAACGCTCCACCTCGATCGTGTTTGAGCTCATTTTTAACGCAAAATAATTACCCACAGTAATCAAAATCCATAGTACTGTTTTATTCTACAAAACTAGTTTGAATAAATTACTATATTAGAGATGTATATATTTATTTAATTGATAATAATTTCCCCAAAAGATCAAAATATTTTTAAAATTCCAAGCTATTTTATTGATTTCCCAAGGAAACAATTTTTTCGCAAATTAATTTAAACAAAATAACCATTACGACGAGTTACACAGTTAGTCTGGAGCATTTTTTCTGCTTTCCGTAAGTGAACCAAAATTGAATTTCCAGCGGGGAATACTTTTTCTTTTATTGTTGGAGTGTCTTTTGGCAAAGCATCTCGTCTCCGTGTCTCTCTCTGTTTCTGCAGAGAGCTCGGATGGATTCTTGTTGAGCGCGCTGCGGTGTTGATTCCCTTCTGGAAAATTTCCAATTCTGTTTTGTCATCAGTAAATCAAATCTATTTCCACGCAGAACAAAAAATTCCCCTTTGCCTTTGCGCGTCGCCATAAAGCTCTTTCTTTATTTCTTTTGGGTCAAACACGCCCTACTGCGAGCCGAGGCTTTTAATGCGAAAAAAAGAGATGCAAAAGGCACATTTCGCTGTCAGGGGGGAGCGCGACCAGTGGGGTCGTCCGATGATGCAGTCGCGCGCGCGATTGTTTTCTGTGGCGTAAAATCGACGGCGCACACAAACGCGCTTGATTTATGTGGCCCCGTTCGCCGCGTGCCGCTTAATTTGTTGCGCGCTAGTCGGGAATACAAATTTCGGCGACGGGAAAGAATTTGAAAAATTCATCAACACCCTTCATCAATACACAATGAAATGACAAATCAAAATTTTCAAATATATAGCAATCTTTTCGTGTGGTCAAAAGGGTAAATAATTCAAATTCCACACTAACTATGGAATTTCTATTCCTTCTGTGATTCTGAAAAATCATTTTTTTTATAGTGAAAATTGTTTTAACTAGCAAATTTGAGATTATTTAAGATTAGCGGCTTTAAAATTAAGTTGCATGTATTTAGGAGAAAAATATTAAAATTCTCGATAAAATTTTTTCTCTGCTTTCCCAAGTTCATAGGAAAAACATGAAGATTAGTTCAATTGGCAAAGCTCAATTTAAATAGTTTAAAAATATTCCACAAAAGCAGATGAATTTTTTTCACAAGCTCTACAATTGTCAAAAATATTTAATTTTCATGTTTTATGAATGATAATCAATTTCCAGCGCAAGAATAATAATTTGTATAATTTTCGCTGAAAATTCGTTTTTGAATATTACATTTTAAGGAAAAATCCATTAATATTTGTGAGCTTTTAAAAAGTGATACAAAATTTAGAAAATAAATATTTTTTATTTTACATTAATTGAAAATTATTGAAATTGAACTTCCGTTTTGATGCAAATAAAGAATTAAATGGTCGTATCTCAAATCTATAGGAATTTTCCCACAGTGTATGCAGCTTTTGCATAACCGCGAGCTCAACAAGAGAAATATTAATAACATTTAAAGAGTAAACAGCGTGCAGGGCCGCGTTCAAATTGGCCGATGAGCTGTGCGAAAAAACAAACATTTACACAGGAGCCTCTGTTTTATGTAATCGTTCGCGTTTTCCCCAGCCTGAGGATAACGTGCCAAAAAGTGAAACCGCAGCCTCTTCAGCCCAAAACTGGTCCGGAACGAAGAATTTCATCTCTCTCTCAAAATAAAAACACCATCAATTAAATCATTTAATGCGACACACGACCCTGTTTATGTGAATCAGATTTCTTTTCAACTTAGGAAACAATACAAGAAAAAAACTCATCGCTGGTTATTTTTTTAGGGGGCCATTGGGTGCCTAAAAGGAGAGAGAAAAAACGGCCGAGATGGCAATTAGGCGCAGTGGCCGGTGATGGGATTGAACTTCCTAGTGAAAGTGCCGCGTGATACTTTCTCTCATTCGGAGCAGCAGCACCTTAGCCTTGGTGCACGCTAATTACTTTTGGTCCTCCTCCCGGTCATGTCTATCTCCGACTCTGTGTTTTTATGTGCCCACGCGTCATCCAAGCGCCGCCCGCGTGTGCTGTAACATGTGTATTTTGAGTTGCGTCCTCAAGGTACTCTTAAAAGCAAAGATAAACATCATTACGAAATTGATTCTGTTTTAATACATATATTTTTTGCTTGTGCAATTTTTTTACACGATTTTTGTGTCAATCTATGAGATTAAAATCACTGCATAAATACATAAAATTACTTTTATTTATTAATTCTCCATTAGCATACATACAAATATCACGATATCTTTCATAAATGCATCAAGATCGAATTTAAATCAAAACATGAGAAGAATGTATAAAAAAAGATGAGATTCCACGGATAAATTTTAAAATAAAAAATTAAAACAAATTTATTCACTAGAGCAAGGAGAAATTTCAGAAAGTTGTTTTATGCAAGTGAAAAAGTTAGCACACAAATTTTTTTTAATCACATTCAACTGGATAAGCTCTTGCTATATTTCTTTGCAATTTTAATTAAAAAAATAAATATTCTTCGTATCAGAGAAATAACAATAATGAATCAGTTAAGACCTTATAAATCGATATTCCCTATTTCAACTTAGGAAATTAGTAAGTAAATTAAACAAAATAATTTAACAAAGTACAATCTAAACACAAAAGCAAAAGCTCTTTTATCAAATTTGACATGGAATTTATCATTTAAATTATTTTGCTCATTTATTATTGGTTTCATTGTAGGAAAATAACGAAATGAATTGGAAGCATGTAAATAATTCTTTGGTTGCCGCAAAATACAAAATTTCTAAGCCTTAATTGAGCTGCTCAAATTTCTTTTAAGCTCAGTCACGTCACAATTACATAATGGAAAAATGGTGAGGCGAGATTTTGGGTCTGGGAACTGCGCACCGGTTTCGAGTTCTTCCGCTTATTACGTTACACATTTAGAGACGAATTTCGGTTCCTGCATATATGATTTTTCCCACTACGCCCAACCGCACTGCTTTTTGTTGATCCGGCGAGCAGCAGCAGCAGCCTTTTTGTGTCTCTCTCATATTGATGCAGTGCTGCCTGAAGAAAGGACTGGCCGTGGTCTACCCGCGCCCAAAATCACGCACGCAGCATTTTGTGAAAGCACCTGTTGAGTTCACCTTTTCAAATCGCCCGACTCTTTGCGTGGACCATCAGCCACTCTATCCTCAACAAACAGGCCCCTAGCTCCAAAGGTATTATACAAAATTCACTTTTTCATTAGGAATAAAAGACTTTCCAGTTCTTTTCTTTTAAATTGAAAAATGCAAAAGATATTGAATTCAATCAAGTTTAATGTAAAATAATACATGTGAAAAAAGATACAAAAATATCAGACCATTTTTTGTTTGCTGCATGTAGAAGCAGAATAAATTTTAATAACACAATAGTCAATATTCTTCTGAACTTCCTTTTTGGTCTGCGTCTACATTTTACCATTCAAGCTTTTGCAAAACAAGTCAGAAAGGGAGAAATTATATGACTTTGGGTGAAAAATTCGTCCATTTCAAAGAACTGTTTTTCCAGCATGTCTGTTGGAAAATTTTTTGCTCTTACAATGAGCACAATTAAGAGCTAAAATTTATAATGCGGCTTGTATCAAAATTACAAAAACTATTTTTAGGAAGTGCATCACAGTACATATTCTTTAGGAGAAAGATTTGGTAGATTTTTTATTGTTGAATTTTTGTTTGTGAATTTTAAAATTAGGATTTATTTACAAAAAATATTTTTATTTAAGTCAAATAGAGAAATTGGCACTCGCGGACACGATCATAAAGATAACCTGGTTGAGGATATTTTGTTAGTTTAAAGATCTCATTTTTTTATAGCGGTTTTTTGAATTTAAATGATTTAAAAAAGAATTCTTGCTCATAAAAAATCGTGACTGAAATTGGCAGAGCCATTTATTTTCAGACCAAAAACCATTTTTCAACGATGACTACGCTTTTATGATGTATTTTTCACTTAATTGCTTTGATTTTAGTAGCAAACTTTGTTTCACACTTATTTCTAGATATTTCACTTATTTAAAGTAAAAACCCTTTTTTTTCTTCTCACCGCAACATTTTTTGCCAGAAGTTTCTCGGCAGTGCTATTGTTTTTGCAATCAGCGCTGTTATAAAATTTACAAAACTCCTGGAGTCATTACTAAACTTCATTAAAGCTCATGAAATTCTAAATCATTTGGAAACGTCACGTTCTTTTCGGGAACAATGAGTAATTCTGTTGAAACTGGACCACCTTATTAAATAGACGGCCCATTAAAATTTCACTTTTCTTTCTCTTTCCAAATGATCCACTATGCATCTCCTCGTCGGGAATTCCTGCAAATATTTACCCAGCGCGACTAGCTCTCTCGTCGTTATTGCGTTAGTAAGTTTTGTGTGCAAAACGGAACCCTTTTTTCCTTGCACTTTCTATATTAACGTAAAGACTTTGACCAACTCACGTACGCACTCAAAAATCGAGAGATACATTTGTTTGTGGTGTTGTTTGGGAAACGGAGAGAGCAGTGAAAGGCCTAACGTAACCGATGTTTCACCCAAAAAAAGATTAGTAGAGAGGCTAATTATCTCGAAAAATCTGTCAAGAGAATAAAAAAAAATTAAAACTCGGAGGATTTTGAGATCAATGAACTCACACTTTCTCAGGAAAAGATGGATTTTTTAAATGCAAAATAAATTTCAAAACTTTTAAGGAATTTATTTCTACACACACGTTATCTTCCGTATATGGTCGTTATAAAAATAATACAAATAATTTTTTTCAACTATTTTAGGCTATGTGGCTGGCTCCATTGCTCTTCATATTTGTGGTTAGTCTTTACCTATACCTAGATGCCAGGAAGCCCAAAAACTTCCCACCAGGTACCTTGCATGCCCAACATCTTTTTTAATTTTGCCACAAAAATAACCATTCATGGAAGGTCCCCCCTGGTGGCCGGTGTTGGGCAGCCTTCCAGACGTGTCGCGACTGCGAAAAAAGCTCGGAAATCTATGCATGGCAACAACCTTCCTGGCCAAGACGCACTGCGACGGCAAATTGGTCGGTCTGCGTGTCGGCAACGACGTCCAGGTGGTGCTGAACTGCGCCGAGGCCGTCAAGGAAATGGCCACCAAGCCGGAACTGGACGGCCGTCCCAAGGGACCCTTCTACCGCTACCGCACCTGGAACCTCCGCAGAGGTCAATTTCAACCTGTCTCTTTAATAGAACTTTTTATAATTTTTAATTTTCTTTTGCATACACAAAAAGGTATTTTATTGACGGACGATGATTTCTGGCGCGAGCAGAGGCGCTTCCTGATGCGCCACCTCAAGGACTTTGGCTTGGGAAAATCTAGTCAGATGGAATCGATTATCATGAGGGAGGTGCACGCACTCACGGATTACTTCAAAACGGCCATCAGCAATACAATTGTAGGTTAAAAAAATTTTCACCGCATTAATGATGGAACTTGTAATTTTTTTTCTTTTTTCAACATTCAATGAATATGCAGAACTAAAGTGAACCCTTGGGAGAAATAATAAACTATACCTAGAATTCTAATACTTTCTTAAATTACTGTTGATTTTAATTTTGCATAAAAAAAAAATGCATATATTTTGTTAATGATCGAAATTGTGTTGTAAAGGACGGCAAAGCAACTTTACCTCTGCATGACGCTTTCGGCGTGTCCATGTTGAACACAATTTGGGCGATGCTGGCCGGAATCAGGTACGACCCTGACGACGTCGAGTTGCGCAAGTTGCAGAAAATCTTGGCTGACATGTTCGCCAGCATGGACATGACCGGCTGCCTGTTCAACCACTTCCCACTGCTGCGTTATGTACTGCCCGAGGCCTCTGGCTACAACTACTACATGCTGTGTCACCAGAAACTATGGGCTTTTCTGCACGAAGAGCTCCTCCGCCACGAGGCCACCTACATGGAGGGCTCTGCCAGGGACTTCATGGACGTTTATATTAAGGAGCTCAAGAGCAGAGGCGATCAGAACTCCTACTATTCTGGTATTATTTTATTTTTTTTAACATTGTTATTATTAAAAATGGACAAATTGGAAAACAACCCCTAAAAACTATAATTTTAGGGTTTTATTTTTCATAAAATCCACCTCGAGTGTTTGCATTCAATTTACGGTTATATACTTTCATTTCTTTTGAAGAATTAGAGTTTCCTACATTTTTTTAAATTTCTCATGATCAGAATTTGATAAAATCAAATAGAAATAACCAGTATGTGTTGTTCTCATAAACTGGCATATTATTTTAAGATGACAAAAATTTAAATTTCAGAGTTACAATTGATGGCAATATGCGTCGACTTGTTCATGGCCGGTTCGGACACTACCAACAAATCACTGAGTTTCGCCTTTCTTCACTTTTTGCGTCAACCTCACGTTGTCAAGAAAATTCAGGATGAAATCGACAGAGTTGTTGGAAAAGGAAAAGTAGTTACCATGGAAGACAAACCAAAGTAGTTTAATTGTGTTTGGCGAGGATAAAAAAAATTAAATCATTTTTCATTTTTAAGCATGCCTTACACTGCAGCGGCAGTAAACGAGGCGATCAGGGTTTTTGCCGGACATGCTCTTGCGGTGCCGCACAGAGCAATGGCTGATTCAACTCTGATGGGCTACTTTATTCCAAAAGTAATTAAATTCGACAGTAAAAATGATGCCTTTGTAACAAATCCCTGATTTAGGACACAATTTTGGCAATAAATTTCAACGGGTTGTTCATGAACGAGGATTTGTATGAAGATCCTTGGACTTTCAACCCAGAAAGATTCTTGAATGAAAAGAACGAGGTGACCATACCTGAGCACTTCATCCCATTTGGAGTTGGTATGTACTTGTCAGAATATTATTATTTGCATAGAATTAAAAAAAAATCAATTTTTAATTTTTATATCTCTGACAAACATAAAATTTGTGTTTTCAGGGCGAAGGAGGTGCATTGGTGACACTCTTGCCAAAACGAACATTTTCCTATTCATTGCAAATCTCCTGCAGACGTTCAATTTTGAGAACCCCAAAGGACGCCCTTTACCCGACCCCTTCCCTATCGAAGGAATCACTCCTTTCACCCAACCCTATGAAGGACAGATTTCCCTTCGAGTTTAATTATTTTCATTTTCTCTTTAATTTAAAAGGATAATTGGACCTGTGTGGCATGAGCCAAAATTTAAGTTAATTGAATTTGTATAGAAATTTGTTATTTACTTTTTTACCGCCTGTGTGATAGTGTGCTTAGAGTTTTTACAAACATGTTAGCAAACAGATGTAATATGACCTAGCTCAGTAGATACGAGAAGAACTGCTGACCAATTGTGATCATTAAAATTGTCTACTCCCACCATAACATTCTAAACGCTGAAAGGCACCCTAAATGCGAAGGGAAGGATTTGTCCTTATGCGGCCTTTGACTGAAACAATACAATGCCTTTCAAATAGGCATAATAATAATATCTCTTTGATATTTGGTCAAAATGCTTTTTTTTTTAAATTTAAGTGGGATATTTTTTATCAATCTTAATCTCTCCGGATCAGACCAAGGCACTTTAAAAAGCGCCCATTTATATGATATAATTAAGATAAATTTTATTTTTGTATTGATGCCGCTCTTAACAATTTAGGTATTTTAATTGAATCAAGATTAAGCAGCATGTAGAAAGCGATTTTTTGTTATTTTATCAAAATAAAGAACGGGTGAACAATTTAGTTTTTTTTATAAGAAATTTGATTTAATTATCAGGAACTTTTACATTATGAGACAGCAGATAAAGTTATGAAATTATTCAAAGAATCCCCTTAATTATCTTTAGGCACCACATAGGTAAAATTACACAAAGAAACAAACAAGCAACAAAACAGATATGAGAGAATTAAATAAGGCCCAAAATGGCCATCTTGAAATTATTACTGCTTTTAAAATCTATGGTAGCATTTTGTTTCCTGACAATTACATAATATTAGTGCGCTCAATGCTTTCTATTTCTCAATCCCCCCGACCCCCTTATAAAAGTAATGTTCGCCCTTCAGCACTTGAATCACAGAAGACCCTTGCAAAATTCATCAAGTCTTACAAAAGGCTGCAGTTGGGGCTGATACAGTTCCACGCTTGTGAACATAAGGAGGGGCTCTCCTCTCCGAGCTGAATGCGGCCAGGCTGCTCTCTGGCCTCCCACAAACCAGGGGTTTGTAAGATCTGTTTGGGAAAAACTTTTATAACATTTCAGTTTTCTAAGATGAAAATTTACGTGATAGACTAAATCCTCAAAACAGACTTGGACGTTGGCGTTTTCAAGGGCGCTGGCTTCGATGAACAGGGTCGAGTGCCTACGAGCCAGCTGCTGGCCTTCTTCTCGAGAAACTTCTCGATTTTTCTACAAAACCAAATAATTACTATTTATTGAACAAATTTAAATTTTGTATATGTTACAAGGTCAATCTTGTTGCCCACAATCATTTTGACAACATCCGTTCTGTTTACGTAGGCGTCCAATTCCTGCAGCCACTGCTCCACCCTTTCGAAAGTTTGTCTCCTGGTAACATCGTAAACAATAATTGCGCCTTGGGCGTTGCGGTAATAGGTGGGGGTCAGCGTCCGAAACCTTTCTTGACCCGCAGTGTCCTTGATATTTAAGATAATACATAATAGGTCAATTTTCAAATACTCTATAAAAAGCAAACCCAAATTCCTAGTTGGACACATTGTCCGTCAACAGTGATGATCCTGTTCCTGTAGTCCACACCGATTGTGTTGGCAACATTCGGGTCAAAAACGTCATCAATGAAACGATTCATTAGGCTGATGACAAAAAATTGAGATAAAATTTTTAGATCTTTTGCTTTTGTTTTTAATTAATTACCTAGATTTTCCCACATTGCTCTCGCCAATGACGAGAATTTTCAGGCTGGTGATGGGCTGCTGCCTTGGTTCCTCGTCCTCGTAGTCGTCCACTCTTTTGGCCATTTGCCGTCTGCAATTAATTAAAACATAAGACCAACCTTGAAATTTGAAATTATGTGTGTATTGAACAATTAGTCATTTCTTTAGAGACACAAAAGAAACACGCGTTCCCAAAGAACGAACAATCAAGGCCACTCACACCATCGCAAGATCAAGTTTTCGTTCTTCCGGCCGATTTGAGTGGCTCCACAAAATCCGCAAATTACGCTTGCAAAATTGCAAAAAAATACGAATTTACGCACTAAAAACAAAATCTTTGCTCATCCGTTGCGATGGGGAGTGGGGACGGGGGCGTCTCCTGCCTTGCCTGTCCTGTACATCAGCGCCACATAGGGCGGGAAATTTAAAATTCGCGACTTGGATCGGGCCCCTCCTCCTTTTCGGCACGGCAGTGGGGCGAGAGTGCGAGTCTGCGAGTCGCGAGAGTGCCAAAAAGATGCGTTTAAGCTGATCATAGCAGAGGCAATCGAATCATTCGCACTGCCGCGGACGGTCACGACACATCGAAGGTCGTTGAAGGGCATCTGCACAGGGCACCTCCGATTCGGGCCGTCTCTCTCGAATCAAACATGCAGGATCCTCTTGAGCAATTGTGCAAGTCGGACACCATCAACCTCCGGCAGAAATACGTGGGGTGAGAAAAATGATTTTTTCATTATTTAAAATTCCACTCGGATTTGAATGAATTTTTTAATGACGCAGTGCATAAATTGCAGAGCCGAGCCGCATTTATGCAAATTTTGATTGGGCAATCTCGGGCTAGGGCCGTGCGTTGTTTGCCAAACTAGTTTTCGCTGCGTTGACACAGAGACCATCACCTTCTGATTTGCGTCAGCGGAAGCGACCTTTTTTTCTACGACCCACAATATTTAAATATAGTCTTGAATTGCAAAACTCGTTTAAACCGTTAATAATTCCTCTGTTAACCCTGAGAAGTAAACCTTTGACGATTTTTGTTTTGCATCTTTTTATTTATTATCATCAATATATTAATATTTTTATTTACGACAAAACCGCTCCCCTCATTGGACCCAGTGACCTAAGCCGCGGCAAAAAAATTAATAAAAAATACTAAAGAGGTAATTTTGACATTGTCTTTCTTGATTAAGAGCTGTTTTTTCCTTCCTGCTATTTTTAAGCACAGAATAATTAACAAGGAAAGTTAGAAGATAATGAGTTAGTATTTCTATGACCATGTAATTAGTAAGTTTAAAAATATATGCGCTTGCCAAATATTTTTCCATTCATTGAAAAACTGAAATGATTGATTGCTTTTATGACTTTTGAGTGATCACTTTTTTGTAAGAAAGAAATACATTTCTGAGTAATATTATTTATTGATGAGATTGTTTGGTTTCGGACGTTCAAAGGACCAACAACGTCTAGCCAAATGCGTCAGAAAACACCCAGTTTATTTGGCTGATAAGATTGTAATTTTCACAAAGCCTTCTATGAATGGAATATTTCATATTTGGTGATTGTTGCAAAGCAAAAATATTTGATGAGTGCCGTGAATCGAAAAACAAGAAAAGAATAAATAATAAGAATCAACGACTTTTCTGCGAGCAAAGTTCGTGTGGGTAAAGAGATTGGAAGCGAACTGATAAAAGTAATAATACGAAAGGACTCGCAGTACATTTCGCAAATGCACTTGTTTTCAAAGTCAAGCCGTATTTACAAAATGTGAAAAACAGCCATCACAGGCTGTAGAAAAAAATTAATTTTTTTCCGAGCTATTTTGTTTTTGAAAATAATTGTAAATTATCTCAATCTTTTTGTAATTGTAAATATAATAAATTGAATTCTTTGTTTCCAGTCCATCGTGCACACTTTTCTTTAAATCGGACCCTCTGAAAATTATGCGAGCAGAGGGTCAGTACATGTACGACGAAAGAGGCCAAAAATACTTGGATTGTATCAACAACGTCGCCCATGGTAACTAAATAAATATATTTTTTCATAGATGTGCAAAAATAAATTCACCAATTAATTATAAAAATGACAATCATCAATTTGTATTTCATCCCAGCAATTGTTTGACTTGTTCTGAAAATAATAACAAATTTCACACTGCATCATTCCAACTTAAATAAGCCTTGTCCTTTCAGTGACAAATTCTTCTCTCTTTTTATTGTAATTTCCATACTTAAAATTATTATTATTATTGCAAACAGTTACGGTAGAATTTGATCGAAATCAATTTATGTATGTTTTAGTTGGACACTGTCACCCTGAGGTTGTGAAGGCGGGGTGCGACCAAATGGCCACCCTGAACACCAACAACCGCTTCCTCCATGACAACCTGGTTGTGTGCGCCCAAAAACTGACCAGTTTGCTGCCTGAGCCCCTTTCCGTCTGCTTCTTCGTCAACTCGGGCTCAGAGGCCAACGACCTTGCCCTGCGGCTGGCGCGAACCTACACCAAAAACAACGACATCGTCATTCTCGACCAGTAAGTTGTAACGACCCTAATTGTAAATAATGAGAAAGCTCTGCAAATAGGCTTGCCATAGAAAGTATGCTTGGCCGACTTTTAACAAGACTGACGAGTTGATTGTTCTAATTTAAATGATTTGATGCCAACGATTATTTTATTATTTCAACTTTCAAATTTGAATGTGTATTCCAAAGGGAATATTATGATTTTTTTGTTTGTAGATTACATTAATTCTGTATGATTTTTTATATACATCTCGAAAAAAAAATTGGAAGAGAAGACATGCGGCAGCAAAAGGCGATTGCCCTCCCATTGCCGCGTCATGGGGTCAAATTGTGCCGCCGCCTGGGAAACTGAATAAGCGATTTTCAAGAATATATTATTGCAAATAAAAAATGGCAACTTTGATAAAATATTAATAAGTTAAAAAACAAAATTCAAAACTTAATTATAACCAGCACAGTTTAATTATTATTTATACTTTTAAAATTGTGGTTGTAAATTTACTTTATTTAATATACGTTCTATTTCAATTTCATAAAATAAGTCCATCCAAAAATTTGCATTTTATGTTTCAAACTCTCTAGTAGATGTTTTGATTGTTTTTTTTTCTTTTTCATTAATTTTGGGGAATATCAGCAGTAAAATTTCTCAAATTTTCAAGTAACAAAAAAAATATGTAATTTTTTTTACTGCGTAATTATAAATTTTTGTCTAATTGATTGTTTTTTTTTTTTCACAGTGCTTACCATGGTCATCTCTCCACTTTGATTGACATTTCGCCGTATAAGTTTAATTTGCCCGGTGGCGATGGGAAACAGGAATGGGTCCATGTGGTAAGGCCCTATGAACTTTAAACTTTGAACTCGATCCTACTTTGACTTGTTAATGTATTTTAGCCAAGTAACAGCTGGCTTTATTTACCAGTGTTTAAATGTCATTCTTATAAGACGAAAATTCTTAAAATTTTTATTTAAAATTAAGCTTTTCGAACCACACATTAAATTTTTAAATTGGATGTAGATACATAGTTATTAATAGACATAAAGTTTCATTAAAAAAAGCTTATAAAATTAAATTTTATTTTCTGTAGGCTCCGAGTCCTGACGGCTACCGAGGCCAGTACACCAAGGAAAACTATCCTGGAGAAGATTTGGGCTCTCTGTACTCTGAAGAAGTCAGAGCCCTTTGCAAGGAGGCTAAAAACAGTGGCCGATCTGTGGCTGGATTCATTGCTGAGAGTATGCAAAGCTGCGGTGGGCAAATCATTCCTCCCGCCAACTACTTCAGAAACGTTTACAAGTACTTTTTGCTATCAATTTTACTTCAGTATTAAACTTAAATTGTCTGCAGGATCATCAGAGAAGCCGGAGGTGTCTGTATTGCCGACGAGGTGCAGACTGGCTTCGGGCGAGTAGGGAAGTACTGGTGGGCCTTCCAGCTGCAGGGCGACGACATTATTCCAGACATAGTGACAGTTGGTAAGGATTGATTGCAATACTTATAAACGCTCATCACACATTGCCAGGCAAGCCAATGGGGAATGGACATCCAGTGGCGGCAGTGATCACAACCAGGGAAATTGCACAAAGTTTTAAAAACACTGGAGTTGAATACTTCAACACAGTATGTGTAAAAAAAAATCATTTCCACCTGGTGCTTGCTCTTTATCCCCAAAAGTTAATGCAGTGTCAATAGGGACCAAGGGTGCAAATGTTAAATAAAAAAACCTGCACGGAACCAAGTTTAAAAATTTGATTGTATTTGAAAAAAGGCTTTTTTTATATTTTACGGTTACAAATATTACTATCAGACATATTAATACAAGTGTCAACCTTTCAGTACGGAGGCAACCCTGTGTCCTGTGCTGTTGCCCTTGCGGTTATTGAAACCATCGAGAAGCAGAACTTGCGTGAAAACGCAACTAGGGTCGGAAACCACCTGATCAACTCGCTTAAAATCATGAGCAAGAAGCATCCTGTTGTCGGAGACGTTCGAGGAATCGGCCTCTTTGTCGGAATCGAGTTGGTCAAAGATCAGAACACCAGAGAACCGGCAACTGAAGCAGCTCTCTACATTGTCAAGAGGTATTTTTAAACACACCTAATCATTTATACATTTAATGTGAATTTCATGATTAGGATGAAAGAAAACTTCATTCTTCTGAGTGCTGATGGTCCGCACAACAATGTCTTAAAACTAAAGCCACCTATGGTGTTCAACATGGACAATGCGGACCACTTTGTGAAGGTCCTGGATGAACTTCTACCTGAGGTTAAAAATGGAGAGGTGTGTTATTCATTAGAAGTTATTTTGCAGTCCAAACCCTTATTATATAGGTTCCGTCGGACAACATAATGGCAAGCAAAAACATGAGGGAAATGTCAAAAAATCTACACGACCAGTACCTCAATGGTCCTCTGGAGCATAAAATCAGCATCGATGAAGTAGATTAAATTTTTTTATTTAAAAAAAAAATAATAATATGTTTTTAGGCTGAGAGCATGATGAGCAATTGATTTGCTACTGGCGTAATAATCCTGCATTCCCATAAACTCTACCGAGCAACTTTGTGGCTACATAATCCTTTTTGCTGGTGCGAAGAAGAGATATATTTTATATTAAAATTTAGACCCACAATATCCTTAAATATTAATCATAGTTTATTTGTTAAATGATTTCTATTATGAGAGGGGCCAGGTTAAAGTATTTGACAGCCTGTTCTGTTTGTTGCACAATGAGATTTTTGAAAGACGAGACCGTTAGAGGTTGATGAGATAATCCTCATTTCCTAAAAAAAAATTAAAGATTAGATTTTTTTAAAGATTACTGTTTTGTATTGTGGGTTGGGGGTCAAGTTCACGTTCTATATAATTATTATTATTAAGCCATTGTCTTGTTGATAAAAAAAAATAAAATATAAAAGGTATAAAGCGGTAAAAACTGTCTAAAAAATACTTGGTTTGAACGGGTTTGAATTTTCTTCCCGCAAAAATGAAAATGTAATGAAAAGCAAATTAAAAGTTGTACAATTTTACAAAATTTTATTATAAATTCCTCCTACGAAGAATTTTATACAGAGAACTATTAAAAGAAATTAAAGAATAAAATTTTTTGCGCTTTGAGGCGCCTCTTTGCGGCCCAATTAAGAACTAGTGTTTCAAGGTCGTTCCGAAGGGGGCGTAGCTGTCGGTGACGTCGATGTAAATAAACATCGCGTACGAAGGACTTGCTTTGTTACTCCCGATCACCAAATTCGATTTATTTTTATTTACTATTTTAAGCCGTTCCTTTAAAAAAATATTTCACCAAATTTATCTCCTTCGTATCAAAATTTATTTAACAAACAGATTAAGTTGCAACTCGTCTTTTTGAATTCAAGGGCTGCTTTTCTGAAGAAAACAAAAAGTCGCAACATCGATCTTCGGGTCGAGTCGATTTTTTCGCTAGTTGTACATCTGCCTCAAAAGGGTCCAGCTTGCCTCTTTCACTAATCTCAATCACCGATTGTTTTCTTCATTTCGAGACTCGCGGGCCCGAATTTGCGAGGAATCTGCTCTTGGCAGAAGTCTTCATCAACCAAGTGGCATTAATGTTCGGCACTTATGTACGTATATAAAAACAGTAAAGAGAATGTGACGGGAAAGTGTACATCATTAACTGTGTCAAATGTCGGCAGGTACTCTCACCTCTCCCATGGTAGCACGAACAGCAGCAATGTGCGGCCTGTTTACCGCAACGGGGACCCGCCGTGGGTGTTGAAGACCCCTGCCGCCGAAAACCCTTTGCTCAAAATCCCGCACCCGGTTGAAATGAACCCCAAGGTCCAGCCCATCTCCGCATTGTCCATCTGCCAACTTTCTAATCTGAAACTTTGTCCCAGCAGGCGATTCCCGTGTCCATTCCCGCTCCAGGGCTGCTGGCCTCAAGTTCGACGACGGCCGATCTTGCAGCAGCCGCCAGCCAGCATTTCAGCTACAATTACTCCCTGATGAACCAGATGTACCCCTCTGGATACAAGTGCGAGTTGGTTGGCGGAGCCAGCAGCGGCAGCAAAAAGTCCAGTGGCAAGGGCGTGCACCTGTGCAAGTGCGGCGCCGCCTTCGGCAATAGCTCCGAGCTCAAAGCGCACCACAGCCATGCTCACCACAAGGAGCTGGAGGCCTCCACGGGAGTCGCAACTCGCAAGGGCTGCGACCTCTGTGGTGGCGAAATTCACAACAGGTTTGCCGCTAGCATGTTTGATAATTAGTAATTTTTATGGTGACCAATTTAAAAATTCGAATAGAAACAAGAAAAGGTTCCAAAATAGAACCCGATGCCAGAATTGCATCGACGACTGTTTGGCCGCTCAGGGTGTGAAAAGCCGGTACCAGAGAAGGCCAGCTTGCCCCCAAAAATGTAAAAACTGCAATGGATCAGGTGTTATTTTTGAAGGAAGGTGAGGACCAAAGATTATTGCTAAAATATCAAAATTGAGAATTCAACTTTCAGATTGGAAAGTTTATATTTATTTCAAAGTAATAATTTTAAATTAGTTGTAAACTTGTTCTTCCAGGGATGAAAAACCATTCCACTGCACGCTGTGCAACAACTCATTCTCGCGGTACTCGTCATTGTGGAGCCACAAACGCCTCCATTCGGGCGACAAGCCGTACACCTGCGACCAGTGCGACGCGTCCTTTGCCAAACAGGCGTACCTCAAGAATCACAAGCGAGTTCACTCGGGCGAGAAGCCCTTCAAATGCAACACGTGCGGCCAGGAGTTCAGCCAGGGGCCTCACCTCAAGAACCACGAGCGCATCCACACCGGTGAGCGACCTTACGTGTGTGAGGTGTGTCAGAAAAGGTTTTCAAGACACTCAACCCTGTGGAACCACCGTCGCATCCACACAGGCGAGAAGCCGTACCGCTGCGACATATGTGGTTCAGCCTTCTCTCAGGTACAGTAAAATCTAACAATTTTGGCCGGAGTCCAAAGGTTAAATTTGCAGGGTACACACCTGAAAAACCACCGAAAAGTACACACGGGGGAACGACCCTTTCGTTGCGACATCTGCGACGTTGGCTTCAGCGACCGGTTCACGCTGAAGAGGCACAGGAATGTGCACGGCGCTGTGCCCAACGGCGGCGGCAGCAGCAGCAACAGCAACCACGACCCTGAAGAACCTTCAGGCCCGAGTCTGGTCGACCTGTACAAATGCGAGGTGGGCCAAGTGGCGTTCCCAGGCTGCCAGCGGCCACCCGAGGACGACAAGCCCTTATAGTGGCTGCTAGTCCTCATTTCAGTTCACTGATCGCCTCTGCCAAAATTGCTTGGCCTGTGAGTTTTCTCATTTTTTAAATTATTACTACGTGATTGATGGGAAAAAATATAAATGCAATATTATTTGCGTAATAATTTTGTCTCCAGATGCGATCTCGTCAGATCCAACCAGCCTAAAAGAAGATCAACTCGACGGTCACTCTTTGAATTACTGACATTATGAACTTGGAAAAAACTGTGTACCAGTAGTTTTTTTATTTCGTGGAATATTGGTGTTTTTCGCCTTGAAACATCAGTTTGGTTCTACGTTGAAAAAACATTTGCCCCCGTAGCAGCGTGATATGGAAACTTTCCTGAAATACTCGACTTGTGCGCAAAGCAAATAACGATTTTTTTTGCAATACAAATTTATAATAACGATTGACAGATTTTCTTTTCTAACAAACGGTGTTACCTAAACTTCGTGAATTTTGAAACAATAAATCATTCCTATGTACTGCATGAATTTTAAAATATTTGAGAGTGACCCTTAAATTAATGAAGAAGAGGTTTCAATCCACTCGGCAAACTGTGGGCCATGATGTGATTTGTCTTCGGTACCTTTCTGCCGAGGATTATAGTTTTTGACGATCCACCTTTCGCTTATATCCGGTTGGAAACAGACAACATCTTCCACCTGCTTGACATCGAGCAACGGACTCGGCTCTTCTTTTGATCTTTTCTCTTTTCTTTTGTAGCTTACTTTTCGGTCAATAATTATCTAGAATAAACATTTATATATAATAAATAATTTACAAAATAAATCCCAATGTACTTTTTCTGGTCTTGGGAGCAAGGCCAACTTGGACTTCTTTTCCAAACGTTTGGCCCGCAGTTTTATGCTCTGCGTCTTGATTAAGAATTTCATACGACTGCTTTCTCTCTGAATCCACTCCTTAAGGGGAATATTAAGTTCTTGGAAATTTTGAACAGTCAGAAATTACTTTTTCTAATAAAATTTGGTCAGTAGCGGTGACGCCTCTGCGAAGGCAAAATATTTCATTGTGCAGAGCTCCGATTTTTCTCTCTATCAGATTTGCCATTTCTGTTGGGCGCAGAGTCTGGAATGAACCATGGGACACATTAAACACAGAAAATCAATGGACCCGGATTTTTATAATAAAATTATATTTTCATACCTGCCACTTGGTGTGCATGACATTTTCAAATAGAGAGGTTACTGTGACCAGCGATTCAATCTCTTGATGTGTCATGGATTTTGATTTGCTTAAAATTACCTCTGTTAAAGCATCAATGAAAAAGAATATTTTTTTAATCTCCACCTATTCATTATATTTTTACTCGTCGTAATCTTTCCAAGATTTTTCGACTCGTATTTGAGTTCCTTCAACTCCTCCTCGTATTTTCGTATCAGTAATTTAGTTTTAACCTAATTACATTAATTTGATTAGGATAAAACTTGTCGATAATCAGCGTTCTGTATACCTTGTCTGCCGCAAATTGGCCCTCAAGTTGCTCTAACTTGTGCTTCAAATTGTTTGCCTGAACGCACCGCACGCGGGCTTCGGACTCGTAATTCAGCATCAGATCGAAGAATCTCTTTGAATCTCCCAACTCACAATCTTTAAAATTAAATTCATATATTAAATTTTACTGTATTTCTACTTAAATCTGCACACATGTCATTAAAAAATTCCAAAACTTACCGTTTTTTTCACCGAAAAAATTCTTTAGCTCACAGTAAAGGGCCATAAGTTTTGTCGACGGCAGCACTGCAAGCTGCTCCGACGGTCGATTTTTTACTTTAGGCGAATCGTGGTGCCTGTTTAGCAATTTGCAGACCATCTGCTTGACCTGAAAGTGGAACATCCACTTGTTCAGGGTGCTGACCATCCTGGCGAGCGCCTCGACGTGCGCCAACTCGAGCTGCGCCACTCGCTTCTCCGTCGCATCCTTCTGCTCGGCCAACTCGATTGCCCTGTTGAAATTGCGTTCAATCCCAAAATTAACAGAATGAAGTGTAAAATCTCGCCTGTCCAGTAGGCTGGTGGTCGGCTTTTGAAATTTCTCCACAAAACTCGTCGGCAGCACGTGGCTTTTAATGTGCTCCACGTTAGCAGCCATTTCTGGCGCTGAAAACTCATAGTTTCTCTGGACCCCAAGTTCCTAATTTCATCAATAAAATTTTATATTTGAAAATTGAAATCCCTTTTTATACCTGGCAAAGGGAAGAGCGGACCTGTTCGCTAATGTAGTCATCTTTGTTGAATTTTTTTAAGAGTTTCTGCTCGCTTTTGAAAAGCGAGAAAAATTGGTCACGAAAGAATCCCGCCGTGTTCAGATCGACCTAAATTAAATTAAGTGAAGTTTAGATTAGTTTATGAATAAAAAAACGTGTACTTGGTGGCTGCTCATGTTTCTCGGATGATTGCTTAACTTCTAAATCAGGGACGTCGTTACTATAGCAACACCTGAGCCTGCATTTGTATTGCCCTGGATTGCGCAGAGGATGAGTCGCACCACGTAATTTGCTTTGAAAATTTAATAGTACATATTCTTTCTACGATATAATCAAATCAAAAACTAGAGAGAACTGTTTATGAAATTCGATTTTATTTTTCTGAAAATAGAATTTCAGAACTTACTAATATTCTAATTTATATAAATAAAATATTAATTACATACTTAAGGTGAAGTTGATATAAAATAGAGAAAAAAATGAAAAAATAATTATTGCACTGGTATTCCAAAATACTCAGTGTGCATAAAATGAAATATATTTTGATACACGATATTTTTATTTTTATTTTAGTTAAAGTGCGAAAATTTTTTGTATTGACTGTGAAGAAGAAATAAATTTAATAAATAATAATATTGAAGATATGATTTTAAAAATTTAGGCGTCTGGATCCATATTGATTTCCCAGCATTTGTCTTTATTTATTAAATTCATTTGTTTGTTCTTAATTAAAATTTTGTTCCTATATTTATACAAAATTAAAAAAATAATTTTAAAATCTAAAATTTTTGAAATCTTTAAAAATTATTGTAAATTCCGTGACTTTGATGAGCTCCAAACGGAATTTCTAATGGCTTTCAGAAATTATGATTTTTAGCACTATTAAAGAGACGCTTATGGACAACTGAAGGATCAAAGCGTCAGTTAGATAAATTGATATTCCCGCAGCACTGCAAAATTCATCAAGGGCGATTGGCAAATATTTGGTTCGTGTAAAGGGCGTGTGTGTGAGGGAGAAAGTGCGGCGCTGCGTTTTGGCAATTGCTGGCGAGGGAGGAGAGCGCGTGTTCACGGTCTAGGTCTCTCCCTCCAGCAGCTTTCTCGGGAAATAACGACGATATTGATTTTCCGCGCTGAGCCGAGGAGGTGTGAGCCTGCCAGCCAGCTTGCTCTACTCTCGTCAGTACTCGGTAGTAAAATGTTTTGGCAAACGGGTTGCCTACACACAGCCGCTGCACGAAAATGAACTAGGCGCGGAGACACGAGATGCACCTGCACTTCGAGCGCAACCTGAACGCCAAGTGCGACTGCTCCATCCTTTCCCTGACATGGATGGGAAAAGTACCTGATGAGCTGCCGGAGGTAACAAAACACTCAACTTTTGCGCCTCACTCGCATGACCAATGCCACACATATCCTTAACCTAATTCTCACAACAGCAAAAATTGAGGACAAAACTTCTAAAGGCAGATTTTTTTTGTAAATAAAATTTTTATCCCTTGGCATCTAAAAATTCGAAGCAATTTATTGTTAATAGGGTATTTTTATTTTAAATTTTTTATTGTGGAAATAATTCATTAGGATGAAGGATGGAAGTTGAGCAGGACAAATTACTATCAAGAAGGGTGGCTGGCTGCTGGAAATGTTCGTGGAATCGTCGGCGTCACCTTCACAACGTCCCACTGGCGCAAGAACTCAGAGTTTCCTCTACGGACCAACTACAACCTACGAGGACACCGATCTGAGGTTGGCATAACTTTTTTCAAAAGGAAAATATAAATTTTGAGCCCACAAATTCTTAAAATATTCATACGGGATATTGCCAGTAAAAATTTTTTTATTGTTAAATTAATGATTTGCCCTTTGATCAATTAAATTATCCAATTTCTGCTTAAGAAACCTTACTGATCTTGGAAATTAAAGAAATTCAAATTACAAATTTTTAAAATCAAAGTCATCAGTGACAAGTACTGAATATGAACTTTTTTCTCATGAAATGGACTAATTTTGCTCTCTTTTCCATAGATAATATTAGTGAAATGGAACGAGCCGTATCAGAAGTTGGCCTCTTGCGACAGCTCGGGCATCATCTTTGTGTGGATCAAATACGACGGCCGGTGGAGCATCGAACTGATCAACGACCGCAACACCCCGGTTACCCACTTTTCGTGGTCGCACGACGGCCGGATGGCCCTCATTTGCTACCAGGTACGAACAATCAATTTGTTTGCACAATACAGCAGGCGGCTTATGCAACTTGCCAATTATATGTGACGCGCCGGTTGCATAACCAGTCGTTTGCAGGGGTTTTGACACCTTGCGATTTGCGATCATCACAATAATTACCACAAACCTTTAAACGCCAAAAACTAAAAATTTGTTCCGTTTTCAAAACTCTTTGGGCTTAAAAATTGTAAAATCAAATTGTAGGACGGTTTTGTCTTGGTGGGTTCGGTGGCGGGTCAGAGATACTGGTCATCAATGCTGAGTCTCGAGTCGACCATCACCTGCGGACTGTGGACACCGGACGACCAGCAAGTCTACTTTGGCACAACTTCCGGCCGCTTGATAGTGATGGACGTCCACGGAGCCATGGTTTCGCAAATCCAGTTGTGCCAGGACTACGGTCCCATCGTGTCCATGGCCTGGAGCTGCGAGAAGTTCAAAATGGAAGAGAACGAGTCTGACGGAGCTAGTCCATGTAAGATAATTTAACACTTGTTAGGAATTCTGCCATTTTTTTTTAATAAAAATTCGTAAATTAGAATTAATTCTACACATTAAAAACAAATAAAAATACACCTTAAAATATTTTTAGACTCGATCTCCATCTGAAAACCAGGTCTTGATAATATACTGTGGTGTTTGATCTTTTTCAAATTTTTGGAACTGATCATTTGCACGTATTTATGTTTTTCGCAGATCACAATCGCGGCTTTGTACTGGCCGTTTGTTTGAAAAACGGCAACATTCTGCTGATGAAAAGCTTCGACGACGTGTCCCCGGTGCAGCTGCAGACCGGTCTGGTCGGCTTGTGCATCGAGTGGAGCAACTCAAGGCACCTACTGGCCGTGGCAGGCACCAGGCCGGCGACCTCGCCTTCCGACGGCCAAACCAACGTCCTTCAGTTTTACTCAGAGTCAGGCACCCTCGTCTACTCCACTTTAATCCCTTACAAGCAGGTTTGTCTTTTCTTAACTTTGTTTATATTTCTTCTAAGTTTATATTTCGTCCATTCTCAAGTCGAACGTAACTGCCCTGACGTGGGGCCACAACGACAAGCGCCTTTTCATCGCCACCGGGTGCCAAATGCACATCGCCTGGGTCTCACGGCGCATTGCGAGTCTGCAGTTGTTAAGCGGTCTTAAGACTCACACGCAGCTTAAGTCCGAGAGCCACGTCGCCGCCCTGCCGCTGCCTCCGCGCATCAGGGTCCTCGTGTCCAATTTGTTTGCTCAGACTATCAGGGTCAGTGAGGTAAATTTCACCATTTTAAATAGCAAAACTGAACGCATGCACCGTGCATTTTTATATCGAATGAAAAAAATTGAGTCCAAAAGTGCGCTTAGGAATTTGTGCGAAAACTTTTGTCCGAAAGTTATTATGACAGATTATTTTCGGAAACTTTCTTTTTCCGGATTTGGACACTTTTTTTTGGCACATAAAGTTCAGCGAATAATAATATTTTGTTATTTTTTTCCTAGTTCTGACTTAAATGATTTTTTTTGACTGACCTACAGAAAATGTTTTTAATTAAAATAAAATGGTGAATTTGATTTTAGTGCTACTTGCCAGAAATCAATCAAATGCGCGACTTTGTGAGCAGACCACCTAGCAAAAACTTCCGGCTCTACTGCACTATGATCAGACACGACGAAGACACAAACCTGACCGCTGGCACTTGTTACACTCTTTATTTGGAATTTCTAGGCGGACTAGTCCCTCTGCTCAAGGGGAAGAGAACAAGCAAAATCAAACCAGAATTTGTGATATTTGACCCTCAGGTTGAGGGTAGAAAGTCAAATGAACTTTGAAATCAAAATTAATTTTAAATTTTAAAGAACAAGATTTGCTGGAGACTTCGAAGGCGAATTCTCACGGCTCGGACACTTCTCCGAATGGCCAGTTGACCACAGACTCGTCGGAATCGGACATGGACGATGGTTGTGCCAGTCCAAGGGTGCAAAGGAGACAAAAGAGGTGCAGAAAGAGAAGGGCTCAGGAGAAAAGAGAACTGCTGGAAATTGACGATCTGACTTACTTAGATATTCTGCCAGAGGTTTTTATTTACTTATTGAGAAATTATAATTTTTATAAGTATTTAATTAAATTTTCAGTATGCTCGGCTAGTTCAAGTTACGTCCAACATCTGGGGCACGAAATTTAAAATACACGGTCTTGCATCTTCGTTGCCTGAAAATTTAGGACACGTGAGCGATCTTTCTATTTGTGGCCTCGTTTGCATATTTATTTTAATCTACATTGCAGATCACTTACAAAACGTCACTGTTGCACCTCCAGCCGAGACAAATGACTCTTGTAATGACTGAGCTCGGCGACGACGTCGTCCTAGGGCCAGATCCTAATTTTAATCCCCATCTTTTTTCTGAAGATGAAGATGAAGGTATTATAAATCTATATAAAATCCCCTAAAGATGGAATAAATTTTAAAAAAAATCGAGATTGGAAATTCTTGATGTTCATATCATTTTTTAATTGAATTATAAAAAATAAAAATTAAATTTTAATTGAAGTGGTGAGTGAAGTGGAGACCAGAAACCTGCCAATGACTGACCTTGCCCTGCCCATTGCCCCGATGACCCCGCGCCCTGCAGCTCACGAGTCGAGGCGCCTTCAGCAGCAGAACTCGCGGAGTTCTCGGCTGAGTGCCAAGGCCAACGATCCCCCTGGGCAACTTCAGAGGGCCCCCAGTTCGTTGCCCCCTCTGTGCGGCGGGGAGCCTCAGACCCCAAAGCACACGGTGGCGCCTAGAGAGGATCTGCCCACTGAGCCTAGCACCAGCATGAGGGTCAAGTCGTCAATTAAGGTCGCCAGCCAGTCCGACGAGGCTAAGGAGATTTACTCAGGTCTGTTTAAACAAAATCAATTTTTCCTTTTCTTTTAATATGACGTGATCATGGGCGCTCTAAAGTGTTTAAACTAAAACTATATTTGGCATAATTTTTTAAGTAAAAAAAAAATTAGGAATATTTTCGCACCTTTAAAAAAAAATATTCTTACTTAAAATTTTTGATTTTCTGATCAGGTTGTAGAACAAAGAGGAGAGAGAAAAGTTCTGGCCACAAACAGGTGGTTTCCTCGTTGTCCAAGGAAGAGGAGGCGCCTCCGTCCGCCGCTGCGGTGGCGGCAGCGCTTTCGCTAGGGTGCAGTCGCGGGCCCACAGTGGTCAACCCGTCCTCGTATAGCATTCTGCTCGACCCGATGGTGCGATCGTGCAGCGTCGGCTACCTGGACCTCGTGGACCTGACGCTCAACTCGCACGGCCCTCTCGGCGACCTGAGCGACTCTGCACCGCCCAAAAGACTAGTCCTAGTGCATAAGAAGGAGCAACCCAAGCCAAAACTCACCCACTGCGGCAAGAGCAAGAGCTTTGACTCGAGCGAGATTTTCCCCTCGGCTGAGGCTAAGAAGAAGCAGACCAGAGCAAACCAAACCGCTAACTTGGTATTTACATATTTTTCATTCGATTGACCCAATTTGGATGAGTATTCAAAATAAATTTTTAATTCGAATTTTAAAGAAAACAATAATAAATTGTCATTAATTGATGATGTAAAAATTTCACAAAACTGGTTAATTGGCTTCAGCAGCATTACCAGTATATAATGGACATTTTACATTTTAATTACAAATTAAAATTTTTTTATTAAAAGAGCAAAAAATGGTTTTACCTCGATGTGCGATGGTGTGTGATGCGCTGAGTTTGACGAAAGATAAAATAAATTAATAAAGTAAAGTATTTACACTTTTTACGTTTTACGCTCGTTTGACCCATAATTGAAGTTTCAATCACTATAAAAGTATTTCATTAATTTTTTTATTTTTTTTAATAAATTTGGTCGAATTTCTCAACACTTATTTTTTATACTTTCAGCAAAGCTTTCAAAAGTCTCAAGCAACCAAAAAGCCTCCAGCCAACACCACCACTCTCTCGGATCGAGCTGAGCCCATCAAGGACTTGAAGACTGAAGTCTTTGTCAACCAAAACGACGGCTTGCCAAGTAGTGCCGTGGAGCGAAACGCCATTGCGACTCGTCTTCCGCACAGCACCCCAGCCAGTCCGGCCCTGGGCAAGAAGAAGAGAAATCAATCGCCTCTCAGGTTTGTATTGATTTGATTTGTCTCTCTTTTTATTTTGCTGCTTATATAACTCCTCACCTTGAGCTATTCTGTACATTTCACCGCACCTCTGAGACGCACCTTTACTCTTGATTAACACTTTCTTTCTCCTCCTTGCTTTGTTTTAGAAGCTTTGCTTTGGATTGCAGGCGACATCTCCTCAACTCGCCCCTTCTGTCCAGGCGGGTGTGGAAAAATCGAAACACAAATGAGAGTTCTGATGACGAAGTTGCCACTACCAACGAGGAGATCACCAATGGACGCAACTTCAAAGATCTTGAAACCTTCCAAAAAGCTCAGCTCAGACAGAAAGTAATTGAAAATATATAATTTGACTTTTTAATTGTTCTTGGCCTATCGCGCAAAATTTGAATTTAATTCTTTTCTGACTGCTTTTTTTTATTTTTTCAGTTAAGAAAAGGAAAAAATGACCCTCCGCCGCCTTCTGTGCCAGTTGCCGCTGCAAGGCACAGGGAGTTTGTGATGCATAATAAGGCCCCTATGTGGAATGAGAACAGTCAGGTGTATCAACTGGATTTCGGCGGGAGGGTCACTCAAGAATCGGCCAAGAATTTCCAAATTGAATTCCGCGGCAAGCAGGTGAAAAAAAAATATTATTATTATTTGCTGAACAATAATTTAAATTGCAAAATTTGACTCGCAGGTCATGCAGTTTGGCCGAATCGACGGCAACGCTTACACGCTTGATTTCCAATATCCGTTCTCAGCTCTCCAAGCTTTTGCAGTCGCCCTGGCAAACGTCACTCAGCGTCTCAAGTAAAACACGTATATTAATTTTGCAGAAATATCGTGAAAGAGTCCAAAGGTCCAGTGACGAGACTATGCAAATATGTGACTTTTAAATACCTTTTTTGATTTACGACGGAAATTATTTTACTGCTTATATTACACACTAATGATTGTTGATGTTGGTTGGAGACTTGAATGTCCTTCGGTCGTTGATTTGAAATTTGAATTTACACACATAGAGTTAAGTTTTGACGATACTGTTGTTTGCGATACTTTTCAAATTCCATTAAATATTATATATATCCCCAAAACTGCGATAAACACAGAGAGCTTGTTTTGAAGTTTCCAACTTAAAAATGATGTTTGATGGGTTCAATTTTTGCCTGCGCCTTTCTGTACACACATATATTATTAAGGGGCTAAATCAATTTAGCTCGGGAGTGTTTTTTGGAGCACACGAAAATGAAAGAAAAAAAAATCATGTCCGCATAAAGCAGGCAACACTGCAAATTTTAGTGTTTAAAAATAAAATGTAAATTTTTGCCAAACAAATTCCGGACCCAAATAAAAAACTTTTTTGCAGTTTCAAAAATTCAAAAGTGTATATTATTTTTATCCTTCAAGGCTTCAATTTGATATATAAATAAATGAAAAAGTTTTGCATGTAGTTGGCTCCGGTCAAATAAACAGGGTATTGACTATTGAGGCGATTTGAGCTGCGTTTTTTTTTAATTCAACGCAAATAATCGAAACTTTTTGGGATTGCACGATTTTTTATCATTAAGGTTAGATTGGGTTATATTGTGTAAACTTAATGAAAGCATAAAAAGCTTGAAAAAAATATTAACGTTTTAGTAGTTAATAACGTGCTGTAAGCAAAGAGAGAACGTATGTTTTGGCGCCAATGGGAGCGGCGACGCCTGCGCCCTCCGCGGCAAAAGCATCGATCTTCGATTTCAAGAACGGAAGGAAAACGAAACGTCAGATTTTTTGGACCAGCCTCACCAGCCGACGGGTTCGGCCTTCGGACGGGCTTTCAGCACTCGTCCGAACTCGTACACCCCGAAAAAGTTGTAATCGGCAGTTGGAATTAATTGGCCTTCATGCCAATCACGAAGCATCGGTTGTTCTGCCTGGGGGTGGAGTTTGTTTGAGGAACGACGAGAGCAACACGGCGAAGAGATCGAAGCGGAAGGAAGGGCTCTTGCTCGGCCCTTGCTCGGATTGCGGACGCTTTTCCGGACACCCTCGACCTTCTGCTGATGAACTCTCAAAAGGTGCCAATACCTGAAATTCTGCCAAAACCACGAGTGACCTACATTCGCGGAGAAGGCATCGCCTCTTCAGCGCTCTCGTAATAATTCGCACTGAACCATTTACTTTGGGAATATAGAGTTAATTTTTTTGCGTAATTATGTACTGGGTGGCAGTCGATTCCCTTATCTCTGTTTAGTACACAGCTGGGGGAGTCGAGCGGAAAAAGGAAGGGATGAACTCTGACGAAAAATATAATCACTGGCGCATTTTTTCACAAGGAAATTCCAATTTTTATAATTTATTATTCAATTTCTGTGTATATAAAAATTTTATTTTTTGATATTGTATTAATATACATTTTTTTTTTATTAATTTTTCTTCCATTCCGTTGGTAATTTGGTGCTCGAATAGTGAGGAAATTCTAAGTGTGCCAATTAATTGAATTGAATCAAGGTCACAAGCAAAACGAGCGCAATTACAAGTCCTCTGCATTCTTTTGCAGGCAAATTAGGACTAAAAAATGAAGAAGCTGTTCTCCAAGTTGGACAGCCGGGCCGACGGTTCAGCCAAAGAGCCTCAGTCGTACGTGGGCAAGGTGTTCACCGTGGGCAAACACTCGGTGACCGTCGAGGACGTGCTGGCCGAGGGAGGATTTGCCGTCGTCTTCCTCTGCAAGGGCCCCTCCAGCTCCAAATACGCCCTCAAAAGGCTCTACGTCAACAATGAGATTGACCTCAACGTTGCCAAACGTGAAATTCAAATTGCTGTAAGCTATTTTTTTTTTTAATAATCTCAATAATTTAACCCAATGTTTGTTATATTTTTTATTTGCAGAGCAACCTGAGTGGGCACAAAAATATCATTGGATTCATCGACTCGAGTGTGACCCACACAGGCAACGGAGTGTACGAAGTCCTTATCCTGATGCCCTACTGCCGCACCCACGTGCTCCAAATGATGAACCAGCGGCTGCAGACTGGCTTCAGCGAACTCGAAGTTCTCCAAATATTCTGTGATGTTGTTGAAGCCATTTCCAGGCTCCACCACTGTCAAACCCCAATCATTCACAGAGATTTAAAGGTACAAAGTTTTAACACTTTTTCACTATTAAGTTTGAACTTTTAACAAATCTTTTTACTTTTAGGTTGAAAATATATTGCTGGATGAGCATGGCCACTTTGTCCTCTGTGACTTTGGCTCGTCCACCGGCAAGGTGCTGAGCCCAGTTGTCCACGGGGTGACGGACGTCGAGGAGGAAATAAAAAAGTACACAACTCTTTCGTATCGAGCGCCTGAAATGGTTGACCTTTACTCAGGGCAGCCGATCACAACCAAGGCAGACATTTGGGCGCTCGGTTGTCTACTTTACAAGCTGTGCTTTTTCTCGTTGCCGTTTGGCGAGAGTACTCTGGCCATCCAGAGCGGCCACTTCACCATTCCAGACCACTCGAGATACTCCAGAGGACTTCACTGTTTAATTAGTAATGCCTGAATTATTCAAGTTTTTCACCACAGAGAGTGCAATTTTGACCTGTTTGCAGAGTATATGCTAGAGTCCGATCAGGATAAGCGACCAGACATATTCCAAGTAGCTCACGTAGCGTTCCTGCTTTTGGGCAAAGACTGCCCAGTGCAAAATCTTTATGTACGTAGCTTTAAATTATTTTTACCCTTTTTGGAATTTCTCAAGTATGTTTGGGAATAAATTCTCAATTTCAATTTTTGAGATCATATTATAATTTACAAACAGCGTCACTTTAATTTGAATCAAAAAATTTGAACTTTTCTTATGTCCATTTTTTGCATACAAAATTGCCCTTTTGCAGAAAGTAGCTCCTATTGATGTCGAAAAGCTTCCTTGCCCGGAGAGAGAGTCTGAGGTGAAGAGCGCCTTAGGCAAAGTACCAAAGAGTGTGCCTGTGCAGCCGGTGGTGGAGGGCACCAGTGTGACACCTAGACAGCGGCCCAAAGGTGGTCAGCAGGTCAACGTGGGCGCCTTGCCAATTCCACCTCCGCAGCAGAGCTCTCGTCGGCAGCTGGTGCAGCCGCCAGCTGTGCAGCCCAACTTTTTCGCGGAACCTCCTGTTGATTTCCAACACCAGCATCCTGCAGCCGCTCCTTGCAGTAAATTGGTGCAGCCGGCCGAGAGCATCGTCGACGAGGCTTCCTTGGGCGCCAACACTAACCAAGCTTTTGAGGATCTCTTTGCATCACCAGGTTATTTTTTTCTTCATTTCCATAATTGGATTTCACAAGTCACTTGAAGAAAACGCTCTTTTCTAAATACATTTTCATGTCACATTTATAAATATGGAAAGTTAGTTTTACTTAAAAGTGTAGTAGAATTTATAAATTATTTCATAATTGGAAAAGTTGAAGACATCATTTTTTTTGTAGTTATTTTACTTTCGAATATTAAAAATTATTTCAATTTCAGAATTTCCGGATCCCTTTAAGGAAGGCGTTGAAAAATTAGAGGAGGTCAGCAACTTTCCTGTTTTCCAGCCACCAATCAAGCAGCCAAGTACCCAAAACTTATCCAGTAGCGATTCTCCTCCGCAGCCTTGTAACTTAACTGTGTCAAAGGGACACCGCAGGAATGTCAGTGATACTTCAGCTTTCAACAAGTATGCTTATGAACATGGAATTCAAAATTTTTAATTTGTTTTGGTTCCCAGAGTATTTAATTGCGACTCAAGTCAGTTCCCGACAGTCTTCGACATGGCTCCCATGAAAACCCTGTCCGGCTCAAACCTCCCGTCTGGCGAATATTGTGATAACAAAGAGACCGTTGGCTCCACGCAGAGTTTGAATTCGGGAGGCAACTCGCTGACAACCTCGGTTGCCGGGTGGAACCCATTTGGGACGTCGCCCTTTTCGCCCTTGTCAAGCGGGGATTTTGACCAACAACTTCCTAAGGGCTCGAATAGTGGTAGTTTTTTTTTTTTTTTGAAAATAGCAAGACCAATCCAATTGGCTTTTTAGGTATTAATATGAGAAGTCAAGAAAGCCTAGTCATGAGCCATGAGATACCTGACGACCCATTTATTTGTGCGCCATTTAGTATGCCAGGTGTGTAATTAGAATAATGCAAAATTAAGAAAACTAGTAAAATGATCAATAATTGGCAGATAAATTAAAAAAGAGAGGTGCATCTTTAGAATCTTCCGAAATTAGTGGTTTTCCACCACCAAGCTCAAGCAATACAGGTAAAGCAATTTTGTTTCGAATGTTCCAAAATTTTCTTATCAATTTGCGTTTTATTTTCAGCTCGGCGGCTCTTGTCTGCGTCAGGCTCCACGCGAACCACAAACCAATGAACGTGAAAAACATATATACCAAATTCCAGCGATATTCTTTAAATAATGGCACTTATTATATTTAGTTGCTGTGCAACGCAGGCTGATGATATATAAACTATGTTCCAGTTAACCAAATAAAGCCTAATGATATATGCATAACTCTTTTCACTTTAGTACTTCCTAAATTTAAGGTTGAAAAATATAAATGCAGTTCATTAGCTGCACAAACTCCAAAATTTATTCAATTGATGAACACAAAATTGTTTTAGGTGTGATGAAAATATAAATTTACTCCAGCAAATATTTATGTACAGTCCAATTTATTCATGCGCATTGATCAGCATGCTGGGAAAGTTCTGCAGGAAATAGAACATCAAATAAATAAGTTAATCAAAGGCAGAATCTTAATTTACCTCTCAAAATATTCATTAGGCTCGGCCAGTTTGTGTCGCACTAAGAATGTAGATATTATTGCTGCCACTTTGTCTGGCGTGTCTTCATGAACAGTGTGGCCACAGTGGGACAGGACTTGCATTTGGAACTTGCCTGTTTTATTTTATGTAAGAAAAAAGTTTTATATATTAATATAAAAAAATAAATACCTTGCATCTGTCCGACAGTCAGTTCCTTGTCAAGCCTGTCAATTCCAGCTAAAAGGAGCATTTTGGGCACAGGCAGGTTGAGGAACTTTTGAGACAGCCCCTGGAACCATCCTGGCCAATAGTTTTCAGTCTTTCGGAGATCTATGCGCCATGTAAACTCATTTTGCTGAAACATTTATTAATTAAAACATGAATATCTTAGAATTAAAATAAAACCTCTTTGGGAGGAATAGGCGCTGGAGGTTGAAAACCCTGATCTTTTGGATTTTCCAGCTCCTCGTCTTCCTCTTCCAAGAGAGCAGTTGTGGCTCCTTGGCCTGTCAAACCGGTGCTTTGACTTGCTTCATTTATAAAGCCAACTCCAACCTGGCCTGACTTAATGCTTTTCAGCTGTCCTGGCACAGAAACTTGGGCGGACTCGCAGTTTCGAATTTGCCCGCTGCGTACACTGAAGATTCAAGAATAGAAAATTGGGGCAAAAATAAAAATTGCAATCTCAAACCTCCACTCGATGGCGTTTTCAAGAGAGCTGAAGGTCGATGGTCTGCTGCGGAGGAAGCTCTGCATAGAGGCAAGTGCATCCATTGCAGTGCCCTCCACCACGTCGATGACCACCACTCCAACCAGGTTGGCAATCAGCTCGAGGTGGGCTGCATGCACAGCGATGGCGCCGCCCATGGAGTGACCCATCAACAACACAGGCTCTGTGCGCTCCTTGAAAAGGTGCTCAAGCACCTTGCCAACATCCCTAGCCAGAGTATCGGCCGACAGGTCATCGTCATTTGAGGTCACTGTCTCACCGTGACCTCGAAGGTCGATTGCCACTACTTCACAGTGTACCATGCTTGTTACGTGTTTCTAAAAAGTTAAAATTTACCAACTAAGTGAAATATTTTTAAATAAAAATTGTATCTATAAAAAAACAAAAAAAAATTATTTATACGTACCGCAAATAAAGACCATGTAAGGCCAGAAAAACCACCGCCGTGCAACAGACACAAAATCGGATTTCCAACTTCGCCGGCTGTGTAGGCGCAGAAGGTGTCTGTGTCAGACACTTTGACTTGGTGCTTTTTCTCAAAGTACAAGTCCCAGGATGCAGGCGTATAGTCTCGAGACTTTCGGCTAGCCATCCTGAAGTAAAACAATTAATTAATATAAATCTGAAAGGTTCAGTATCTGATAAATTCTCACCTAGGGTACGACAAACCAGTGGGCGGCAGTCGAGACTTCAAAACAGATTTTTGCAAATTTGACATGCCGAAAACCTTTTCCCGTCAAACTGTAATCCCTGATTAGGCCTGAAATTACAAATTTAATTACATTTATGTGTTTATGGAGCTTATATGATATTATATTCACGTATTCGAACCAAGTTAAGAAGATTTTTATGTATGTATTTTTCTTTTTCCACCGTGCTGTCAGTTGCTCATTTTACCCCCCCGTCTGATGAAAGTAAAATTCCAATCTTGGCGCACAGGCGAAACCATAAAAATCAACGATTCGATTGACACACAGTCAAGTAGATTGATCACATCTTTTTCTAATGAACACTAATCTCGATCTGAAAATTTGATTGCTAAGTGCAAATTAAGATTTGAGTTTTTATTTTGTGACAACAGAAACAGAAGATAGCACACAACTGAGAGGGGCGTGGTAGAATCAGAAATCAGAAGCTCCCCCACCGCCCCACACAAGGAGCTTTTTCACAAACTCATGAGACCTCATTATTGCGATAAGCATTGCATGACCTTGTAACGTTATTCTTATGATCAAGGTCAATGTCAATTCGTGCTATAATGAGGTCCGAATATTGACAAAAACACTATATTTGTGCTTTGAAAATATACTGAATTTTATATTTCTTATTGGAATTTACAAAATCAAGGTCATTTATCATACTTAGGAATCTCAGTGATAGGTTTACAGTCGAGGAATGACCATAATTTTGGAAATTTTGAAAAAAAGACCTTGAAAATATATAGCAAAAATATTAAATCAATCCTCTAATAATTATGAGGACAAAATAAACCAGTAAAGTCCAAATTTTGACAAAAACACTATATTTGCGCTTTGAAAATATACTGAATTTTATATTTCTTATTGGGATTTACAAAATCAAGGTCATTTATCATACTTAGGAATCTCAGTGATAGGTTTACAGTCGAGGAATGACCATAATTTTGGAAATTTTGAAAAAAAGACCATGAAAATATAATGCAAAAATATTAAATCAATCCTCTAATAATTATGAGGACAAAATAAACCAGTAAAGTCCAAATTTTGACAAAAACACTATATTTGCGCTTTGAAAATATACTGAATTTTATATTTCTTATTGGGATTTACAAAATCAAGGTCATTTATCATTCTTAGGAATCTCAGTGATAGGTTTACAGTCGAGGAATGACCATAATTTTGGAAATTTTGAAAAAAAGACCTTGAAATTATATAGCAAAAATATTAAATCAATCCTAATAATTATGAGGACAAAATAAACCAGTAAAGTCCAAATTTTGACAAAAACACTATATTTGCGCTTTGAAAATATACTGAATTTTATATTTCTTATTGGGATTTACAAAATCAAGGTCACTTATCATGCTTAGGAATCTCGGTGATAGGTTTACAGTCGAGGAATGACCATAATTTTGGAAATTTTGAAAAAAAGACCTTGAAAATATATAGCAAAAATATTATTTCTCTCCTAATAATTATGAGGACAAAATAAACCAGTAAAGTCCAAATTTTGACAAAAACACTATATTTGCGCTTAGAAAATATACTGAATTTTATATTTCTTATTGGGATTTACAAAATCAAGGTCATCTATCATACTTAGGAATCTCAGTGATGGGTTTACAGTCGAGGAATGACCATAATTTTGGAAATTTTGAAAAAAAGACCTTGAAAATATATAGCAAAAATATTATTTCTCTCCTAATAATTATGAGGACAAAATAAACCAGTAAAGTCCAAATTTTGACAAAAACACTATATTGGCGCTTAGAAAATATACTGAATTTTATATTTCTTATTGGGATTTACAAAATCAAGGTCATCTATCATACTTAGGAATCTCGGTGATAGGTTTACAGTCGAGGAATGACCATAATTTTGGAAATTTTGAAAAAAAGACCTTGGAAACATATAGCAAAAATATATTATTTCAATCCCTAATAATTATGAGGACAAATGACCTTGATTTTGTAAATCCCAATAAGAAATATAATATTCAGTATATTTTCAAAGCGCAAATATAGTGTTTTTCTTCAATATTCGGACTTTTCTGGTTTGTTTTTTCCTCATATTTATTAGAATAGAAATAATATTTTTGCTATATATTTTCTAGGTCTTTTTTTCAATATTTCCAAAATTATGGTCATTCCTCGACTGTAAACCTATCACCGAGATTCCTAAGCATGAAAAGTGACCTTGTTTTTCTAAATCCCAATAAGAAATATAAAATTCAGTATATTTTCAAAGCGCAAATATAGCTTTTTTGTCAAAATTTGGACTTTACTGGTTTATTTTGTCCTCATAATTATTAGGATTGATTTATAATTTTTGCTATATAATTTCAAGGTCTTTTTTTCAAAATTTCCAAAATTATGGTCATTCCTCGACTGTAAACCTATCACTGAGATTCCTAAGTATGATAAATTACCTTGATTTTGTAAATTCAAATAAGAAATATAAAATTCAGTATATTTTCAAATCGCAAATATAGTGTTTTTGTCAATTTTCGGACTATTCTGGTTTGTTTTTTCCTCATATTTATTAGAATCGAAATAATTTTTTTGCTCATGCTTTTTTTATGGTCATTTCTTTACTGTACGAGAATTTTGCTACTTTTGTCTTTAGTCCTCCTCCAATCTAGAGCTTGAAATATAGCAAATCATTTATCATACTTAGGAATCTCCTGCACAACACCGAGGAGCCGCCGCAGCCAAGCAATTTCATCAGCGGCCTGCATCGCAATGGCCACGCCGCGGCCACGGCCGCCTCCACTCAAACCGGTCAAAAAACTCCTCAGGTACACGCCGCGGGCACCAAAGCGGCCGGGGACTCGGCAAAAGCCCCTCAAAATACCAAAACTACTCTAGAGTGTTACGCAAAACCAAACACAATGCAACAGTTGCCACGCCTCCTTTTTTTAAATTGTGAACCAAATTTTCCCTTGTCCCATATTGTTTGTAATTTGAAAATGCAACATTCTGTCCTAACGAAAGATTCTCAGACCCAAACGGACCCTTTTGAAGCCTCTCAATCCTCCACGATGGCATCTGGCGGAAGGATGACGACTCCTGGCGGCAGGATGACGACTCCTGGCGGCAGGATGACCGTAAATGGCGACAGAAACATCATCATATTCAACAACCAAGGCTCCATCTCGAACAGCAACCACCAGTTTTCCATCTGGTACATCATTCTTGCTGTTGTTCTTGCGATCGTCATGTTGAGCAACGGTATTAATCATTAATTAATTTTATCACAAAATCTAATTATTTTATTTGCCAAACAGCTGGCACATCATCTTGTTCGTTGGATGTGAAGGGTCTACACTTGAATGATCGTTTCTCTTGGACCGAGATGCTGGGGAGCCGTGCAAGCTTGGTGGACTTCCTAACGCCGGGTGCGAACTTTAACTTGAGAAAATATCCCGACTTGGCGCGCTTCACTTTTCCGCTCACCCTTGCTCCGTTCTCGCTCTTTGGACATACCAATCGTTACGTTTGTTAATGAGATTAATTGATTATTGTATAAACTCTCCACTTTAATCGTTAATAATTGTTCTTTGATTCTAAAATTAATAATATAAAGCAGACAATCATCTTCACAGTATTAATTTCAAGGCTTTTTAATGAGACGGGTGGGTTGGGTGTTTTCATTATTCTGCCTGAATTAGAGCGAATTAAATTTATTCATTTAATTAATTGAATGTAATCTTGTTTGACGAAAAAGTTTTCTGCGTCAAGCTTGGGCATTTTAAGATCTGCCCCCTTTTCTGTGTAAAATTTTCTTTCCCTCCTTTGTGTTTTAATATTTAGTATTACTTTTGCTGAAATCCTTTTTGTCGCGAGTTTTTTTTCTCATTTATCTCTCGTTTTATTTGTTTCCCCCGCTAACAGTAATATAAAAAGTATCGTGCGCCTCAGGGAATTTCGCCGCCGCGTCTTCTCGTTTGCATTCCTCCGAGGATCTCTCCTCTTCCCTCTATACTTGAGCCGCGCGCTGTCATTGTAATCTGGCTAAGCGCTCCTCTTTGTACCACAACGACTCACCGCGAATCATAATTCACCACCGCAGAGAAGCAGAACAACTCTCGGGGTAAAAAAAAATACAAACCTCCCGTTTTATGGCAGATATAAATTAAACTGACAAGTACTGATAATGGGTTTTAGGGGAGCGAGAAATGGAAAATTGGAATAGATTGCAGTCATTTTTATCTTAACCAGTTTAAATAGGAATTTTTTTTTTAAATTTGCAATGGGCGTAATTATGTATAAAATCTCAGCAACGAAAATATATATCGTTTTGTCTCATTTATTTGATTGCTTTATTACTTTTTCATTCATATTGCATCGCATACAAAAGTATACTGTAAAAATATTCTGATTTATATAGAAATAAAATTATTTTTGACACGAGAATTTAAATTTTTATTAAGGAATTAGGGAAAATTTATAATAAAATGCTCAAATAAGCTGGCGCATCTGCTGTGCATGGACTGGCCTACGTCATAAGTCATTAATGAAATGTATTTTTTTTTTAATTCTTATACTGAAGTTTGTATATGGATAAGAAAATTATTTATTGATTAAATTTTAAATTCAACGATAAAAAATTTTAATGTTTGATTTTGATACCTGCAAACTCGCTTCATATAGATGATGAATTTTCATGGCAAATTTTCAGCCGATTTTGTTGCAATTCAAAGAACTGATCGAGTACGTGGAAAATTGTTGAACCACAACTTTCTACATCAATTATTTTTCTTATGTGAATGTCTTTTGAAAAATTTACGAGTCATGAAAAGACAATTTTTTCAATATGGAGAAAATATTCAATGTTTACGAAATGTTAAATATTATTTTAGATTTTGTTGTTAGTCATAAAAATAGGATTATGTTTTGCTGCAATAGTGAACATTTTCCGAGGGCTTTCAATGAGAGAGGGTGGAAATCCCGCCGCCGCTGTTGGCGACCAATATCCGCGCGACGGGAGCTGCGGTGGAATCAAGTCGGCGCGGGAGGTGAAGCGGTACCAGGCCAATAGAGACAAAGAGCATAACTGTGTTGTCGGCAGAGAAATTTTACACCCGGTTTTATTATGCAGTCGCAAAAAGTTTCGAGCGAGAGAGACAGAGAGGAGCGAAATGAACTGGTTTGTTTGCGACTCGCTCTCCGGCTTTTACGAGCCACCCACTTTAATAGGAGGCGCGCGAAACTCTCTCTCGAATGCAGAGACGACGCGGCGCCGTAATGAAAATGCGCCGCGGCGACACAGAAAACACGTTAGTATATATGCATTGATTTAGCCTCGCCGTGTTTTCGCTTGTTAGCAAATTTATTACCAGAGGCGGCCGACAACACTAACAATAAGCAGTCCGTAAAGTAAAGCTCATGCGAAATGTGCAGCGAGCGCGACTGAACCGAATGGA